CATAATCGCTACATTCAATGCGCAGGGTCAACTGAAGGTCATAAGATGTCTAAGTCTCTCCTAAAATGGATTAAATACAAACGACTGTAAAGAACCAGTTAAAAGTTCAATATGATTCTATTGGTCGAAGAAATTAATTTTATTTTTATAGGAGATGTAAATGTCACATATTAAAGAGTAAACTGGGATATTTGATAGAAGAAATGAAAATGAAATTTTGTTTATAAAATGACAAGCAATTAAATACATTTACATTCATTTATCAATACCTTGATAGAAATATTAAAAAAATGTGTTTTTACTATAATAGTTTAATAAATGTTGTTACTACAATGATTTTATATTCTACACCCAATAATATTGAATTTTGTCGTCACTACTGAGCACTTTTAAATTACCGTCAAACAGAAGAAAATTATTCTGTAAAATAAAATTTCTACATCTGACATCATAACAGAAATTGTTCAATGGGATGAGAATCAGGGAAACCTTGTATATACATACCAAGGGCGCTTGCAATGAGTACTGATGTAATAACGCAAGGCGAATTTCTACATCCATTCAGTGAGACTATAAGCATGCAACGCCGATCTCAAGTATTTTGTCACGCAGCAGACTCGGGTTTGGTCAAAGTCCTCCAGTGAATCATCATATTCTCTTTTTTTAGTTCCGTGTTCCCCGGGGTCAATTTGGCCACTTCTGTAGGTCTGTGAAGGATTTCTCTCGATTCTCGACAAACCATCGTTTCCACTGATATACTTTGTTAACTGCCGCTGTATCTCAAGACTTTATTTATTTGTTCAGCCTTTCATCCTCTCAAACGGAGCGTCGCTCTGTTATCAATTTTTTGTTGTTGTCGTGCCTCTTTCAGTAATCATGAATGCGCTCTTTAAAGAACATCAAAATCACGTCACTTACCAGTGCGTACAACTACATTCTTATCAGTTTTAATCAATACTGTTTAATGGTAACGCATTAAATCGATTTATTTATAGGTATTGTAGTTCAATTTCTATCATTATCACGTAACTATTAAAAATAATTAAAAAATGCGAATAAAGTTGCCAACTTACAAAAAATAATATTCGTGACTCGAATAATAAAAAAGTAACCGTTATTTGATTTCTCAATCTCAACTAAAATTATTTCATTACCTTTCAGAGATATTCCTTTATTGTCAACATTCTTATGCTCGTTAAAATTCAATACATTTATAACTGTAGAAAAATTACATTTTTCGGTTATTTCAAATATGAAAACATTACTATCAGGAGATTTTTTATTTAGGTAAATTACTTTTATCTATTTCTATTGCTATCAACTTCATTATCAAATAACTAATCATTACTTCCTCCCGTTAGCAGATTCTGAGCAGTTCAAGAAGGCATTCTGATGTTGCGCTGAGAAGGAAAAAGTTGTATTAACCTGCAAATATGTTTGGAGTATTTAAATCCTTAAATTTTAAAATTTTGGAACGTTCCAAAACTGTTTAAACTACATTTCTCGCATGTGTGTATAGAATATATGTTTATTATTCGAAAACTCACGGTGTGATCTGGAAAGAAACTCACGATATGTGAATACCAAAGAAGCATGCCGATATCTTGATAAAAAGTGATATATTCGCAGATCTTATGATCCGAAAAATCAAGCGACAGTTTGGGAATCCACAAATAAAGATTGATTAATTTTATGAACTATTTTCTGCGAGTTTAAATCAGGGAATATGTTGAAGTACAATACTCATATTCTACCGAGTAGAGTTTAATGAATATGGATAAACTGGAAAGACTATTGAACTGAATAAACTGGAAAGAAAATATTGTGATAATGTGATAAATGTTTTCATTTTTTCGAAATTTGGAACAAGCATGTTTTGGAGGCATAACATTTAGAGGAATGCCAGTAACCATAACGCGTGTTTTCAAGTTTTGAAAGGACTGTCAGTAAATTACACACTCAAAACTGCTCACATTATTTAAAGATTTAAAAAAGCTTATGAACTTATGATTAAAAAAATTAAGACATACGAGCTTAAAAACTAAGCTTAAGCTTAAGCTTAAGCTTAAAAACTAAGACATACGAGGAAGAATACAATCCCCATTGAAGTATTCTTCATATTTTGCTAGCTTAATAGTTGTACTGACAACCTTAAATTCCGTGTAAATACTATTACTGTTTACACAGTTCAGAAAGCCATCAATACTCTTGATTGAGCGTGAATAACGAGAAGCGAACGAAGTTATTAATTAAGAACACGATGACACATCATTGACGCACTAATTTTCGTTTAATGCATACATTAGGTTGATCTCAATGTGAAGAGAAAACACAAGCATATTACAGGAAAAATAAGTTAATAAATGAACATGTTTATCTGCAATCGAGAACACTACGAATATGGACATTGTGACGAGTTCTTCATTATTTTATAAGTACCAAACACGAAGCGGTTTCTTGCTGGAATCCACGACAAGTTAATGAGCATATTACGTAACATACAATTAAGTTATATCCTTTGTTTGATATCACAAATTGTTTGAAATTCAATCTGCGAAGTGCAACAGATGTTTAACATTACTCTTAGTTTTGTGATATTCTTCTGTGCAGATACGAACGTTATTGGGCACTGAGATGTAAAACGCTCTCATTATATATTGAGAGAACATTCATTTTGAGAATTTAATTTATGAGATTATTAGGATGTTTAGACGATTACATAAAATAAGCATTTTCCCTCTTGTGATTTTAAGAATGTGCTTCTAAACAAGTTCCTACCTTAAGTTTGCAGTTTGTCGTATCTGCAAAGAGAACCCGGAGCTTGCAACACAGCACCCAGGAGAGATAACTGACACATATTCATGACCAATGCGGGAATGAAAACGACGACCAATAAGTGGAATTGAAACGGAGAAAAATCTGTTCCAGCGCACGTCGAAACAATACCTCCAGGGCACACGCGTGGCAAATTGCTTGGACCTCAGGCGACGGCCAGGTCCTTGCCTTTCGTCGAATTGTCAGATTATTTATTATTTGACGCTTTGGGGCGCGTTGGTTGCTCCAGGCGGAAGTGAATATTACACCCGAGTCGTGCCGGGTTCCTCTCTTTCTAGACGAGATATCCGGCGTCCACCGTCTATGGCTTGCGGGGATTCCTTCTCCAGGGTTCTCTCCCAGCCGGAACAAGCTCTAAGCTCCCAAACGGCCTCCCAAACGGATTTTCGACGGAATAAATCGTTGTGTGGGTTCTCGATACCGAAAAAGGGGATAATTCTCGTAAAGAATTGTAAATTGCGACAATTTACAAACTTCCTCAAAGACCCTGTATATTGAGAATACACGTTTCGTAGGTCCTTGATATAGAAAAATTGGTCAATGGCAAAACATCTAAACGTCTATCTGATCTCTACCTTCCTATCGCTAGAGGCTAAACATCAGGATTTTTCATCAAAATTGATATTCCCTGGTGTCTTTGACTGATGCCTTGACTTCTTGAAATTCAAACTGATATTTTGATTTTGGGTATATGAGGCCCCAAAGACATTTTCAAAATTTTCTCCAAAATGGCTGCACGTGTTTTCTTTGGATGCAGTAATTACGCTCCACGGAATGTATTGCAGTCCCACGGAATGGGACTGCAATGGTGAGGGTCCCATTCCTGTTGAATTCTTTGAATTTGTGAAAATTATAAATGTTTCAATTTTTGTGTCTTCCTACAACTGCAATATAGAAATATAAAAATTTTATTAATGAAATGTGTTCTCCAAAATTTGATCTTTAAATTCCCCAATTAGGCAATTATAAAAACAAACATTTATTTCTCGGATAGCCTGAAGTATGTTTAAAATAATTGCCCCCTCAGTGAGAAAATTTTGAAAATGCCCGAGCGGCTTAATGTGAAATACCTCCAAAAAGTTTAAGAATTATTTTCGAAATCGCTGGGCTTCAAGTCGGACAAGATCAATCGTAGAATATTAATTATGACAAAAATTCTACGAATTGTTTTGGCGCTATTCACAAATGGACGGACGACCGTTTTGAAACAAACATGTTTTTCGGTATTAAGGAACCATAAATTGTGGATTCTAATTACTTTACGTATTATAGAGTTATTTACTATATAGGAGTAAGAAAATCCACTTTCACAGAATCAGTGTGACACACGAGTTTTTCTGACGAGAAAAAGGTACTTTTCGCAGCAGCATTACATTACTTCACACTATGCATATTACACCTTACTTATACGTGAAAGTAAAAATAAGACTTCTGCCATTGGTCATGTCACCATCACAGGGATGATTCGTACCTAAAGGGGTTACGCAGTACAAGAACACCGTAACTACTAGTCCTATAAACACCATTAAATAAAAAGGGCAATATAATTATTTTTAAAACGTATAATACGAATTCTTTGGCCTGTTTTGAGATTAAATGAAGAAGAAGATAAATTTTCTGACCTGGAGCAACCAAGAACCAATAAAAGATATCACACAGCAGCAACAGTGTCAACAAATCTCAGAAACTTAATAGCATCGTAATGGGACCAAGTACATTCACCAAACACATCACACTTAATATTTTCAAAAACAATTGCGTTGTAAGACGACCAGTATTTGCGTTCCAACGGCAGGAAGAAATATTCTTCCAGCAAAAGCACAATCTGTACAGTTGCAACGACATTGCAAAGGGACAAGTGAATAAATTTTTCACTAGACACATCTCGGTAAATACTTTTTCCAAAAACATCGCAATGCGTAACTCCAGAGTGAAACATTTCCTGCGCAGAAGTAAGAAAAGCGCGTCTCGCAACAGAAGTCTGCGAGCTGCGCGGCGCCTTGGCGCGCGTGTGTGTGTGTCGCGGGCGGCGCGTGCAGCGTCGCGGTCGGCGCCTTCTTTTCAAATGCGGCCGCTCCCCGCACCCACACCACGGCGGGGGTGGGGGTGGGGTGGGGGAAGCGTCTCGGAGAGAGAATCTCCACTCCCCGGCGGGGAGCACGCACCGCCGCGCCCCGTGCTAAAGGCCGCACCGCCCATGCGGTCTCGCCGCGCGGGGTCACGTGTTGAGGTGATATTTATCGGCGGCCGAAGCAGATGCGGTGGCACAAGTCGAGACGAAAGCACGCCGAGGCAGCCAGACTCATCGCTGAGAACGCTCCATCCACTCGTTACACGCACAGTTCTCCAGCGACGAGACCTCCGCGATGGCATCTGTTGTGGGCGGCTGCAAGGTGAGGACGGCGGCGGCTTCCTGCCTAGTGTTGTGCAGTGCTGTGTTGTGTGGTGCGGAGCGGAGATCTCGTCATTTGAATCGCGCGCCGAGTGACGGGTGTGGGCGGGCAACGCGCCCCGGTGCCGCACCGCGCCGCGCCGCGCCCCGCCGCGCCGGCTGAGGATGGTGCTCGACGGTAGAGTGCGCGAAAACTAATTTGATGTGGAAGTGCGATTCTGAAATTTTGACTCGACTCTTGTAGGTCGATTAACTATCGAAATGCAGATTTCGAGTGGAATCTAAATAGCGAAACAATCGTGTCCGATTATTACAATTTCCTCGTGTTTACTAAGAAAGATCGTATCAATATCTAGCGCCAACCATTCAGCCAAAGTAATTTACAAAAGGCTTGCAAAAATTGAAAGAAAGAATAAAAAGCGGCATTTCTAACAAATGCAAATTTTAAATAGTATTTTTTATACGCGTCTGAAAATTAAAACGCGTTTTAATACGCCAGTAAAGTGCAAAATAAGATCGGAGTGTTTTACAAATAAATTCACTCAAATCACAAAGCAAACAAAATCAAGGGTTGCCTTGTTCACAAATGGTTTATTTAAAAATAAACACGTCCGCTTTTCCCTATTTTGACTTGTTAATGCAGCCAATACTTCTCGTTTGAGGTAGTCTAGCATAAGTCAAGCAATACGAATGGGTTTGAAACAGGGCATCTAAACAATGTTTGTTGACACAATGTTTATGACTTAACGATTTTCTTTGGCATCTGAAAAGTTACTGTTTCTGAAATAATCCATTCAAATACTTTCCGACTACCTACTTTATTGAAGATAGTAAAAACAAGTGAAATGAAAGACGGAATCCGTGATTATGTTTTGTTACCATTTCACTTATCATTTAACAAAATATTATTTAAATAATTACTGGGGCCCTATTCAGCGTAATCCGAAGCACGTGCTTAGTAGAATTATTCATTACTGTGTCAACAATTGGAATACACACTGTATTAAATTTTTATTGTGGCAAGGGTTTTTGGCTCAAGAAACGCTAATCTTTCTGTCTATACCGCAAATCCGCGGTGGAATCAACGGCTGGTTCATATGGGTGAACATTACGCGAAGGATATTTAAGAGGGGAAAACATTACGATAATCGATGATGTCACAGCGTTGAACCCGATATTCTGTCGAACACGTAACCAATGGCAATCAATCGAGGAAGTGACCACGTGGTTCAGGCCCACTCGTCACCGGCGCGTCATCAAGGACGAACTCATGCTCAGATGTTTTGCATGTCGTTACGACCATTCAAATTCTGGGGTCGTACCGTCAATTTATTCACATGCAGTCTGAATACAAAACCAGCAAATTTTTCAGTTTCGTATTATTTATTGGTGATACTCATGATAATCCTAAAGAAATTAAGAGTATAAAAATAATGTTTTTGATTTTATTGGTCTATTTGCCAGTTATTGGTCATCTTTTAAAAATATTATTATATGATTAGACCTCTAGATAGTTGAAACTGTTCAAGAACTTGACCTTACATTCTGCAAAAAATTTTGCAAGAGAGATTATAAACGACCCTGAGATATTGCGAGGGCTGATTAAAGTATTTTGAAATCCAGGGAAAGCTCAAGGGGGTAATTGCATTACGTAAATGATAAGAACAACAAATACTACAAGTCGAAATGAATCGACAATTTTCAGAGTAGAGTGTTCTGCAAGAAAAGCAACATATTTGAATCCCGAGGATTTGCGTCACTGTTCTCCGGAAAAGCAAAATAACTCCAGAAAATTTGCGACATCTCTTGCTCTTTCTTTGCTGTCAGCATCACAGTTGTGATGCTGCGTAGTAACTATCGACTCTAAATCTCCAATGCTGATGAAATAAATAATTAAACCTTGCCCTCAAAACAACTTATGAAATAAATTTAGAGAAACAAAACTAAACAGTAACAAGAGCCTAGGATTATTGAATGTCGTAGTGTCATTGCTAAGTATATCTTTCGTAAACATGCGACCCCCGAACTTACGATTTAATTGGTTTCATGAGGTCATTTCTAAGCTGAACTGTCATAGGTCGTATTTCTACGGATCTGATAACTCGTACAAAGTCGACTACGGGCAGTTCCGTTTCTGAAATTCCCTCTAGTGGAGACAGCGATCGGGTGCGTTATCGTATGCACTTTCGATTCTTCGGGGACTGGAAGGTCTTAGGTTCGTTCTCGATGGGGGAGGACAAACACAAGTACCTGTGTTGGACGATGCGTGTGATACTGAAGATTTAGAATTCTTGTGATTGGGAGCTCCGATTGATCTTTTTAATGTGTTTCTCCCACGAACTCAGGCTGAGAGCCGGAGCAGCAGCACCTTAAACAATTGTCAAAATACACGCACGACCCTTCCTTCCCCCAACCTATCCGCATACTTTTGCTCAATGACAACATTAATCACTCAAAGCCATATGGACCATTCTCTTTCACCAAGAAGAGTTCAGAAAACACTGGCAGTATGTAGATATCATGGTCAAAGGTCGGATCGGATTGAATTGTAGGGCATCAGGAAGAGAAGAAGAAGTAGAAACGTACCAAACGTGGAGAACAACTTCAACTTTTGTGAGAATTTTGTTTTTTAAATGGGCGAATGATTCCTTAGAACATGAGAAATAACAAAAGATAGATAAAATACATTTCTATTCCTACAAATTTCCCCTTCATATCATTTGTATATTTTTCCTTCTTCGTTCTAACTCGGATAACCACAATCCAAACTTCACTTTGAAATACATTTTTTTAAATCAAACAATTAAACATATTTCACCACACCCATATTTTTCACAACACAAAACAGCATTTGCGCATCTTTTTTCGTTAAGGCAACGTTACTTATGAACGTTCCCCCTTATGTTTCACTTTCCCCTTTAATTCTTGTACTTTGCATTGTATCTTTGTATTTAAATAATAATTGGTATTCCGTCAACTGTTCTCGGAAAGATACAGAATGTTTGGCACACTTAGCTACTGCTGTATCTGGGAGATTCGTAAAATCAGTAACGCGTAATAAGAAAGCAAATATTTGTTAGTTTCCTTCACTCTGACACACTATCCTCAAAACTTTCTAAATTGATACAATCCATTTGTTGGGATATTTGCAATTCACTTTTTTCAAGCCCTTTCCGTTGTATTGCAGCAAATATTGAAGAGTCGATCGTGTGAATATACGATTAGTTTATCGTGCACCTTCTTTTTTTCATTCAAATTCACTACTTTTTCATTGTATACTAAATAAATATAGAATGTTTACCTTATGATCTCTACGACCGGTATTTTCAATTAATAGAATTATGATTTGTTTTGTTTTTTGTGACAAAAAGTACGTGAGCATGTCTATAAAATGCAACCCGCACGGCATAGAGCAGAACACGGTTTGTGTTAACAAAAATGAAAATACTTTATTAATGATTTTTATCTAAATAAAGCAATAATTCCGAAAATTATAAATCATGGTTCAATTAAAACTAGGACAAACAATTTACTAATTATTTGTGCTCTAAAACAATTTTTTCACACATTATCGAATTATGTCCTATGCCCAAAAATACCTGGTCTAAGTTTAGTTAAATAATTTCTATATGGAATGAACATCTACATCAATTTATTGACTTGAAGTGAGAGTAGTTATACGCTCGTTTATATGAATTATTTGAAAATGGGAAATATGTTGGATATCCATCTTTACAATTCTCAGATAACTCTATTCTAAATACGCTGTAATTTGCAGACTTTTAATTTTAATTTTAAAAACTGCGAGCATACTAAAATGGTTTAAATATTTATTATAAAAAGGTAACTATTTCCTATTTAAGGAGGAATTTTTTAGGAGTCGTATTTTTCAACACTGACAAAAAATTTGGCTGTTGAACTTGTTACAATACCATTCCACTGAATCACACTTGACAATCCTACTAATCTAATCCAACTACCTTATGATGTACGTTCTGAATCACCATCACCACAGCAAGTACGCTGAAGCAAATAACATAAGTACTTTAGTTCTAGTTCATTTAGTTTTATTATTTCCTTGCTAGATCTACGATTATGAACTGGAATGTAACCGCTCTAATATATATATATATATATATATATATATATATATATATATATATATATATAATGCAGTTAATGTTGTAAGCCTCATGTATGCATGCGCATGCGTGTGTATATGTGTGGGCACGTACCAACGTTTATACTTATGCTACCTAAACGATCATTTATAAACGAACTGGGAATGTATTCAATTACAATAATGTTAGGAGGATCAACCTGCAGAACTCATTTTGTATAACGCGATTTTTCAAAGTAACAGACTCTAAATTTAGAAAACAAGTGCTGATTACAAGCTCATCATCATTCTCTCGCCTTCTTGCAGGTGGAGTTGACAGCGCGGACGGCGCTGGTGGTGGCGGCGATACTAGCGCTGCTGGCGGCGCAATGCATCCCGCTGTCGGACGCTGTGCCTACGCACTACTCCAGCGACGCGCATGAGTGCCTCCGACACGTAAGACATTTAGCACTTGGTTCCCTGTAGACTTAGAAGGTCCAAAGACGAACCTATTCAGGGAAGATAGCCGAGATGTCTCAGACTACTGATTAGGAGGAAGAACGTCTGTCTACGCGGAAGAGAGACCAAATGAACTGAACTTCAATTAAACGTGACACTTAATACTGGGCAGTGCGTCTAATTAGATTTTCCAGTACCTTTTATTGTTTTTACGAAAGCGGCTTAGTGTCTCAGAGACTGATCCTTCACATCTTTTGCCTATGAGGTGGTATATTTCCGGGACGTTTTTAATTATAATTGTTACTGTTATTATTAATTATGGAGTCTCATATAAGGTGTCAGAAACAGTCAGCAATGTTGCTCTGACACATTTTCATTTAATTCAAATTTAATTTCTCTTCCATTGTATTTACGTCAGGAGTCATTCAATACCTACATGTGCTTTATTGGCGGGGGAGGGGGTTCGCCTCTTTGTAACAAAGTTGAACGATGAGGAGGAAGGGACGTAATTGAAAGTATATATACACTGCAAAAATAAATGTCTTTGAAGTCTTTGGTAGAATGGGCTCGTAAAATGTCGCAGAAACACATTTTACCGAGGTAAAGTAAGTACGTTATTGCAGAGCAACTTAATTATTTTATTTCCTTTATACGCACATCAAGGGTTAAAGATTTTAGTTGCGTATTAAACGAAGTGAAAGGGGTTAAATTGCAATATTTGTATTACGACGTATTTACGACCCATTGGAAATAATAAACCTTTTCATCATTCATAAACATTCCTATCAATTTATTTGTACAACAACATTGTGAATTTTGTATTATTTTGTCACGGTCGACTTATCCGCATACTACCTACTACCGTATGTTTATTGGTGACTATACCTGCCGTTCCCCAGATCATTTTTCCATTAACCAGTGCTGAATTCAGGCATTTGTCTGGAGGACGGGGGATGGACGAAATATTGCTATAACTGCTTACAATACGCATGTAAGAAAATGTTAATAAACATTTGTACGCAAACGTTCCAAAAAATTCGCGCAACTCGTGAACATTTGCCCAAAGACGTACTCGACAGTGCGCAGCGCCCTTTTGTTTTCGAGCATTTCCTTTAAAAATATTTCTCCAAATCGGAAGAAAATACATAAATGAAATTAGCTGAGATTGTATTTTAAAAAAACTTTGCTAATACGTTTCAAAGTTTGTACACGTGTTTTTCTTGATTTGGAGCATAAGTACGAAAGAAGTTGGGTCTTAACGGAATGTAGTGATTTCAGTACACTTGTACAAATAAAACAAATGTTTGCTAAATCGATTGCACTCAACTTCTTCAGAAAGTTATTAATTTCCCTTATAATTAGACAAATTATAAATTAGCAGAACTGATTTGTTTGCGTTGGTCGTCCCTTTAAGGCTCCAACACACGAACCAATTTGTCGGGCGGACCGGTCATTCAATCTCACTGCATCGTGTGGAGGCAAGATGTCCAATAGAAATTTTTGTCGGACGGTTGATTGCCGATTCCCCCATCATACTGCTAGACAAATTGTGTAGTGTAGAAGTGTTGGGCCAACTTACAGTGATTCCAGACCTCAAAACGCTGGTTCAAATATGAAAAGTTATTTAATTAGAAAGTTATTTGATACTTGGGTGTTTTGGATGTCGCTGATTACGATTATGAAGTCGAAAATTTCAAGAAATAAAATAACGGATCAAATTTGGCAGAAAAGTAAATAAAACATAAAATGCAAATTTCTCTTCAGAATCGGTAATGCAAGCGAATTTTGGCAGTAATTATGAGAATGAAAGCAACATAAAGAAAAGCAATGGTTTTTATTTATAAATTGTAGAAATTACATACAATATCGTGAAAAAATAATTATTAAACGGCTTAAAAACTTCTTTATTCAAACACGTGCCATTAATGCAGCTGCAGCGAGATGCAGAAATTTTGGTGATTTTGGAAGATAATACGTAGTATATACAAGAAAATTGCAAATTTTATCGTAGAATTATTTTGTAGGCCTACCATGTTGGTTTTTTTTAGAATTTTTAATTCATTTTTTCATTTCAATAATTAACATAATATTCAGTATTCACTTAAACTAAATCGTTTATTTTAACTCGTGTTATATTTTTATAAAATCTTTGTCAAAAATGTTAATAAGCTGATGGTATTTTTCACTGCTATAATAGAACACGGTTTCACGTGGTTAGCTTTCGAACTGGGCTCTGAAAATGAATACAAAAGATGTGTTCCTCACCTACATTTTAACTCTATGACTATATGGGTAAACTATTCTGAACGTAAACATCTCTAAATAGGATTGTTATTTCATTTTGGCCATATTTTCTAAGTCGGGAATCACTGTGCTCGCACTGTCTTGCTCGCATAAATGTTGCCTTCTCAAAATTTGGAGCACTACTGAAAAATCAGATTGTTGGTCAGACAGTGTGTAGCCAAGAGTCCAATTTCGTTGTCCAGATGGTCGGTTCGACAAATTGGCCCGTGTGCAAAGGCCTTTAAATCTATGGAATCTACACGTGACCCGTAACTGTCAAAAGCCACGTCAAGACTATAGAAAACCCGTTGTATTTTCATATCCCTGAAGAATAGAACGTACTGAAATAGCTTCACGGTTTAGTGATCCGTCGAATGCGAACTTGGCGTGCAAGCATTGGTATATTGATTTCTTTGGAGGTTCTGAACATCATCTATAAACGTTCTCGAATTTCGCTTGTACGTAGTATTGAAAACAATGCAAACGCCCTGTAAGTTAATTGAGATTCATTCTATTAGAGTGAACATTTGCTATTAGAGTTTAGAATTTACTAATAGCAGAATTACTATTAGAGTTTTGTAGGGTATCTTTGTATTAATAAAATGAATTAGAGAGCAAAATTTACGATCTGGTAGAAAGGCGACAGATTTTCATACAAGACTTCCAATTTTCTTAGAGTAAGTCCAAAACAGTTTAGAGAGTGAGAAACAATAACAAAAAATAAAACTCCCAGAAAATCAATTTGTGTTTGAGAAAATAATTCTGACAGCATTTTTTTTTTTTTGTGTCCAATACATTCTCAAGATATTATACTACTGAATAAAATATCTGTATAGCATTTGTCAGAATGAATAATATTTTTTATTTTATTAGACAATGACTGCACATCCAGTTTTAAAATAATTCACATTTGTTAATTATGTTTTAATTAACATATAAATAGGCTGTAAAGCTTCTCATTATAATGAGAGATATTCAATTAATGTTTAAATGATAACCAACTTGGCAGGATAATGAAGTTCAAATTATCTGCCGAAGTCCACCTTCCAATGATGCAATGTTTTTGTACATCATATTCAATAGGTCTTGTGTAAAATCGAAAGATATTGGTTTTTCTACTCAAAATCACATATTAAATTATGTTTCTCAAATATATTTTCTAACAAACATCACTGATTTTTTACAGGAAAGCACTGAAGCCTTGTGTCAGCGATGTGCAAAGTCAACTAAATCCACAATGGTGTACCCCATGTGCTGTAGAAATCAAGAAGAAGTAAGAGAATGGTGTGTGAGATACTTAGATTATGGTTTGCAGTGAAATGAGAACCACATGTAATGGACATTTAATTTATTACGCAGCATGATATATACACAATACTAGATTTCAGACAATGCAAACTGATTTCTCAAATTTCTTGTATTTGAGCTCAGTAAACAATAATATTGCATCACTGAAAAAAAACTGAAAATACAAGAACCTTCAGACAAATTGAGGGTCAGTGCAATACAGGATCAATGCAAATTCGTTTGGGAGAAATTATTTTTAACTTAAATTTGATGGAGAAAATTATAAACTTTTTGCATCAAATGTATCTCCAAACCAAATTGTTGGTGTTTTAATGTCAAGAAGAGTTGTAACAAGTTAATTGTACATTATTACAACTCTAGCAAAATAATGAAAATGTATGATTCTGGGAAGAAATTTCAGAAGTGGCTAGTCACTGTTATTGTTTTGATAACTGTTAATTATTTTTTTGATAACTGAGGGATGGCTAGCACAGAAATATAAATACTTCCTGAGCTTCACTGAAAACAAAAGTTATTTGTAATCTTTGCTTTAGGTATTTTAAAATTCTATTTTCAACCTTTGTTGTTTCCAACCTTGTTAATTCACTTTCAACAAATGTGTATACCTTTTTTCTTTCATTTGCAATTACATTAGGAATAATGAAGCAGTCTTTTGCCATCAATGATTTAATTATACACAGGCAACTATTGTCTTTATGAAAGAAAATATAACTGGCATTAGGAGAAATGGAAATAAAATTCTTCATGTCTCTCTTGGTATGTAATAATGCTTACCAAAAAAGACTGAAGATAATTTTACAAGAATGTGATAATGCAGGTTATTTTAAACTTGCTGTAAACCAACTCAAGAAAATTGATCTCATATAAAACTATAATTGTAGAATAAGTGGTGTGTACCACCAAAAAGCTTATAATTTATATAGAGATTCATTTGCATAAAGCAAATTTAAGAATCTTATACAGAATATTGCATGTTAATGCATGAGTGATTCAAGGGCTGTGAATTCTAATACTAACAATGTGTTAAGTGTTACATAAATACAAAATACTTATTTTGTTATGTAGATATAAGTAATAATTATGTTGTTATTATTTATTGTTTATTACCTATAGCCATTTTTAAAAAACAAATACCAACATATTTAAGATAAATAAACAAGAATTATTCATTATATTATGGTATTTTTTTTTTCTTTTTAACTGTATAAGAGTAACCATTACCACTCTTGTAAGTGAGAAGTAAAGAGTTTGTAATTGAAACTGAATCGTTTCAACGATCGCAAAAAATTACACCGAAAAATTACACTGAAAAATTACACCGAGAAATTAATTTACAACTCGCAAAATCTAGGCAAATTACAAATCGGATTGAGCTGGACTGATCTCAACTCTCACTATACTAGTCTCAACTCTTGTACATAGGCAGGAACAATCGACAACGTAAATCCCAAATCGCCATGAAAGAATACCTTGTCTTTCGTAGGCAGGGGCGGATCTGGAAAATATTTCGGGAGTGGGAGCATACGATAATGATTTTTAACTGCATTGTCCGGAAATTTAATAATCATATTCATCTATTACATTAGAAAAGGAATGAATCCTGCGTGATATATCCCCAATCCGTCCCACCATGACTTGCCCTGCACCATCTCTACCTGCACCATCCAGCTCCACCTTCCTCCTAACCCTTCCCCATCTCTCCCTGCCTTGCCATGTTTACTACGATCATTGTTGGTACCATCATCGTCACGAAGGACATCTGAAGGCGGGTGCATTGTTACATACTCTCGGCAAACTTCCAGGAACAGTTTTGACCTTCAATTACTCTTACCCTACTTGGACTATTGGAATGAATCGAAAAACATTTACTAGGAAATTGTATGGACTTGTAGAAACGTTTGACTCACATTCTTGGATTTACTCGCCGTTTTCGAGATATTTGCAAAAAACTGAATGAGTGTCCACTTAAATTTTGCTCTAATGGATAGGAAAGAAGAATATCGGGCTAATTTGACAAAAATCTCATGAAAACGAACTTTTCTCTTGTTTTAAATTATACAGAATTTCATTCACATCGGAATACAACTGTAGATTTGTAAGATAAAACATCAAAAAATCAGTGGCATGCATTCAACCCCAGCACTGCTGGGATAAGCAAAAATGAGAATTTGATGAATTTTGAGAATAAAAATTACAGTGAAACGTATGTCACATTATCAAAAATATTGCACCCACTGTACACTCTACTGCGGCCTACTGCTTCCGCAATGCTCTAACCCCAGCTCTAACATATTCTCTGGGCCTGGGGGTTGCGCAGGCATCTACTTCACTGGGCCAGAGGCAGGGGAGAAGCCGCAGCCGATAATATTCCGAATCCAACGAGCTAGAATACAATACATTGCCGAAGCGCCTCTGCCTTTGAAACAAATTGAAGCTGGTTTTTTTTTCGTCAAAGCAGCGCCCAGTGGGAAACAAAGTATTCTAGCATTACGTTTGGCGCTGGTTATGGGCAATGGTTACGGACGGTTACACCCAGGTTACACAACCACTTGTATGTTTTGACTTCAAAAAACATGGCGGCCGCTAGTTCAGCGAGCCTCCACCAAGAGCGCTGAAACTAAAGGGACAGCCATTCTTGTATTCTAGTATATTCTAGCTCGTTGGCCGAACCCTAGCCAGCTTAAGATAGATGACGTTTTCCCCCCCTCCAACTGCTTCGAGGCCTCGCCTGGCTCGTCCTGTCTGCGAACATGATTACTCTTGATTGTTGTGGACAATTATTTCCTTCCTCACATTATGGATTACCTCAAGATATCTGCTACCACCATAGAATTTACACATACATTTATTTTTTTTAAGTTATAGTGTGTTTCAATGGGCCACAGGAACTTTAGAACCGCTGGAGTCCGTCACGGAGGCTTTTAAGCGGCATAAAATTAAAAATTGCGTGGATGCGAATCAGAATTTTATCTAAAAATGTGTTTAAATTACAATATTGAGTAAAAGGGATACAGCGGCATTGTGGCAGGGCGTTGCCGGCGATGCGGTGGCGAGGCGAATGGAGCGAGAGGGTCAGGTGGGGCAGAAGGAGAGTAAAGGTTGGAAGGCGCAAAGGAAGAGGGAGGGGCGGACGGAGCGACAAGTCGGTCCAAAAAGAAGGAATGGACGTAGCTGAAAGAGCGTGTTTAGCGGCAGGAACAGGTAAAATGGAAAGAGCTGGATGGTTGGGACGGGAGATGCGGACATGTCAGCTTTGGCAAACCGGATAGGGCGTGCGGGCCGACGATGATTTTAACCTCTGCAACTCCGTATAATAAGCAAGTTTTAAATAACTATAAATCTCCTGACAATAACTACTAATTTTAAATCACTTTATCTGAACGAGAATATAATGAAAAGACCTTTCAAAAGATACGTTGTGGAACCCGCTATCACAATATAACAGAATATTAAGATCAATTTGTGTCCTATAATAAATCGTCTTTTTCTCTGTATAACTTAAAAATAATTAATAGATTGAAGATACTGAAAATAGTTTGAATCACTCAAAATGGAAGATAAGAATAAATTAATATTCCTGGAAAACTATTTGTTTGGGGTTTGAAAAGTCATGAGAATGTAGCAAAGTAATCGCATAATTTTAATGGATGCAAAATTTCATGACGTTACGAATGCGAAAAAGTTTCACCACTATTTGGTGAACTGAAACAATAATTATTATTAGTTGCATCTTCCATCTACACTTTCAATATTTTAATGTGTATTGCTAGCTGATTTGTTAATTTAAGCTCGTGACAAATAATCTATTTCATGAGGTATCCAACAAAACGCTGTTCTAGCTCCGTTGGATAATTAAATTCGAGATCTTCTTTCATAACATGCTTCGTCTTCTAACGACAACCATCCATCGACTAACTCCTGTCTCTCAGCTGCCTTCCGTACACAGCGGTGCGACGGGTTGCGTACCACCATGCTATCTAAAATCTCTTACTCGTCTCAGAATACGATAAAGCGAACGATAAAACGAAAATAACATTATCCCAATTCTTTTTACGCAAATATAAAAACTATTAAAAAGCAGTAAAAGAATATGAGAAACTATTACCTAAAATTGCTTATATGAATTACAGTACTGTAGAATGAACAATATGAGATTCTGAAAATTAATTACCACGAAGTGCAATATTGGATCCTACTGATAATCGGGCCCGGATCCTTTTGGCATTCAGATAGATGGTTTAACCGACTGAACATTGCATTCGCGGCAATATATATATATATATATATATATATATATATATATTACAACAAAAAGCAATTTTAGTAGAGTTCGCACAAGATATCTGTGCACTCGGGGACAGGTAAAGCTCAAACTACACCCACACACGAGGGGGACTGCGCATGCGTAATAGAGCCATCTACCTATATTCTCGCAGTTCAGAAAACATCGGGTGGCCTATTGCAAGCTAGGAATTGTAATCATCCATTTGGCTCTATTAGTAATTTATTGTGTGGGTTTTTTGTGAGCTTTCTTAGACGACAATTTTTTTTTGTGCTGCGTCTGCTCGTCGAAAAGCTAGGCAGTCGATTGTTTTTGAGATGGCATTCAGTGTAGCCTCCTGTGTAACGTCACCTGGATGCACAGATGTCGCGCTACAAATGGTATGAAGGGTGAAGATGGACGTAATGGTATGATTCTCATATTACAGGCCAATAATCCGGCTGTGAGGGTTGAGATTAATACAAAACTAGTTATTGTACAGCAGCACATACTTTCTCGCATTCTTTGAACCTTTTTGCAACTTCTGAAAATTGAAAGAGTGCAACGACAATTAGATCTGCATATTTTTTTAACCGCCTATGGTTTATCTTAAGAAAAATAATAATCATAAATTTGCTGCCATTTTTGAGAAAATGTTTATCAAAATTTCTTTTATTTCACGCAAAATCATACAAAAACTTCTCATATTTCGAAAAACAGTATTTAACCTCATTTACATATCTGTCTCTGTAGAAAATATTTCAATAAGAACTTCTAGTGCTTCATCAGCACCCTCCTTACCGCACTTTTTCTAAATTTCATAATTTTCAAAAATTCAGAGACTTGAACGAAAATGAGACATCCACCATTATTTTAAGCGTACTTTGATCTACCCGCAGAAAAAAATTTAAAGAAAACAAAATATGAGCAGATGTTTAGAAAACATTATTTTTTATAAATCGCATAAAATTCAAGCAGAAATTACGCAAAACGAATGGATTTTTCGAACAACTACAAATGAGCTTTTTCAAATATTTGATTTGATAAGACAAAAATCTCTATCTTCAATTTTGAAGTTCAGAAACAATTTTTTTGCAATTTTCGAAAATACAGAGTTCACTGGAAGTGAGACTAACGCCCCTTTCTATCGTCCTTTGATACAAACATACGAGAAGAAATGTAAAGATAAAAATTGGAGACTTTTCGAGGAACGAAAGTTAAAAATTTGCCTAAGTTCCACGCAAAATTACTGAAAACTGCTCACATTTTCGAAAAGTTGTACATGACCTTATTTCAAGTTCTGTTTTTCAAAGATCATATTTGTTTTCATTTAAATCTCTATCTTCAGTATTGTATTTGTAGGAAGACGCCAAAAAATTGGACTTTGCAATTTTCGAAAAAATAAACAAACAAGAATTGCAACAAAAATAGATCTGTCCCATTCTTCTAGTCGTCCATTACGCTATCCGAGGACAAGGTTTAATGACAAATAATTGAGCCATTTTTAGAAAATTTTGAAAATATTTTTGAAGTTCTTGAAAAGTACTCCACAAAATCAAAATATCTTTCTCAAACTCAGAGGGCCTTGGGTTCATTCAAATCGATCGACGAATATCAATTTTGGTAAAAATCGGCTTCGGCGCTATCTATCCATAGTTCACCATAGACCTTTGGTTGTCAATTGATTTCTCGGTAATGAGGACTCACAAAACATTGATTCTGACTACATGTGTTACAGGAAGTAATATATTATGTGAAAAAAAATGTATCGACTTCTTCGAAACCAAGGCCTGACAATAAGTTTTTCTGTCGAAAATTCGCCGTTTTCCGGCGCACGATTACAATACTCATTATTACGAAGTAAGGGCGAGAAAGTGAAAAGGGAGGGCTCGATTTACTCTCTCACCTGCGTTTCCGCTAGCCCACCGTGTGATCATCACCTTTCTACATCCTGGCCTTTGGATTTCACCAACTCATGCCGGAGTGGGAGCGGGCGCTCAGACTAAAGTTCTAATTCAAATACCCAACAAGAGATGGCACTGTACGAAGAAACAGCTCTCAGGCCCCAAGGCTGCATTACAAAAGTTTTCATTTTCGCATATACCTATACCTAGTATACCTACGTATATACGTAGTATAGGGAAAGTTATGTAATGCTGCGGAAAATCGATTTCGAGATTTCAACGGAAATACATGTCTTGGGGTCCCCTGATAATGAAAAAGTGTTGTTTTTTGTTGTTTTTTCCCAAAACGTCCGCCCGTCTGTGAACACCATTAGCAGGTAGGACTTTTTTCCAAAATGGATATTTCTCGGTCGATCTGGATCGACTCGATGATTTAGAAAAACTTTCTTCAAAATTTGAGGGCACTTTACATGAGACCCCCTGGACATTTTCAAAATTTTCTCAAAAAAGGCGTTAAAACTTTTCTTTAAATTTTTCGTAAGAATAGAGTAAATTACATTTAATTAAATAAAACACAAAACACTCATCAACAAAAACCACTAAATTAATAATGTTTAAGTTAAGGCTTATAATTTGATATGAAATGCATTTTAAATCAGTGAAATCTAGCATAAGTAAATATTGTACATTTTAAGTAAAGATTACCATAATGAAGAAAGAAGAATTAAAGAACCCATAATGATCCCAAATTTATACTTACATGTTGAAAAACATAAAAGAATTGTTTTAGAATTTATTCAATTTTTTTCAAGCAACGCAATTTGAAAAAACTCAAAATCAAAATTTTAAATTCAAACTCAAAAAACTTTTGAAACCTAACCTGTTGAGATTTCCAGCTCTCTATGTTAGTTTGGAGAGAATCTTCATCAAATTAAACTTTTTCAGGGAACCCAATTTCGTAATACTTTACAAGGCTGTATTTCGCATACAAGTAGAATATTTTACTCAAAATATGTAGTTTTCTTATTCTTCATTCATACTACCTATATGTCAAATTTCATCTTAATTTGAGATGGTGAGGTAAAATTATTGTTGTTTTAATGTGGAATGACCCAGTACAAGTCTTGTACTGAAAATATAGAACAGTGACATAGTAACCAATAGGACTCGATTAAATGACAAGGTTGTAACTGATATTTTTAAAAATATTTGTTTTAAATGAGAAGTAAAATATCCTAATTTCATAGTTTTTACCTTCAGTCAATATTCTTTCACATTTTTAATAAATATTTCGTATAGAAATACACAGTGACATATTCCATTTAATGTACTACTAATGTAATATTTTAAGACAATATACTGAAGTTAGGTGTGAAAGCTTTCATGTTGAAATTATATGAAATTAATAAAGTTAAACTTGTACTCTACATTAATGTATACTTAATGAAAATAAAATTAAAATATTCTGCCATGAAGTTCCATCACATAATTACAAAATTAACCCATAACAGCCCGAATGCATTCTGCTACACATCACAAGCACTAATTATTGTTGCTTTCATGTGTGCAGGGCACGAGCTAATATAAAAGAAAATGTTTCACAAAAAACTTAAAGTTATATTTTGTAAAATAATAATAATAATTATATTGAAATTAAAATGATGTAAAATGTTAATCTCAACAACACTCCAACAAAACATCCAATGACCTTTAACAATTTATTAAACTAGAAAAATAATTTAAAACAGAAACTATAAAACAGGTATGAGGCAGATAAATCAACAAAAGAGACAATATTTTATAGATACTTCAAATTATACAATATATTTCAAAATGTACAGCTATACATATAAAAAATATGAGAATGAAGTTACATTAAACTGGTACATTCAATTCTCTATCACTCATTATTTGACTCTTAAATGACTTCAAGAAGAATTCAGAATATTGCCCAAAACACACACAACATTCCAGACCACATCTTTTTAAATTTTATACAATTATAACAAATTTTCGTTAGAATACGAAAAGGTTTAAACACTGCATTAAAAAATTCAGTATTTTTCTATTGTAAATGCCTTATTATAAAGCCCAATAAGTTTTGTACTTTACCCTTTTTATATTTATATCATCAAATATTGCACTAATGAGCAGCTATTTGTTGATGTACTGTTTTAAAGTACTGTAAATCATCAGGGGAAACTGATGGTTTGATAGATGACAAAGCATCCTCAAAGTTGGCATGGCTGACTTCAACTTGCTTGGGTATTGGAATATTCTCTGACAAAACAAAACAAAAAATTATTTGTAATAAATGTTAGCCTCAATTAATTTTTAGTAACTTATAACTATCACATTTTCTTCAGTTCTCTGGGCAATATGAAAACTTGTTTTATTATCAATTGAATTAAATCACTAAATTCTATGTTTAATTAATTTTTTCCTTTCAGTACAATATGAGTAATTGATTTTTCTTGAGAAAACCATTGCGGTTCAACAAATATGTCTAAAAGGTTTTTATTTTAATTCTGGTTAATACACAAGTCATAATATGTAATCCAATCTTACCTTCTTTGTGAGCCTTAATGTGCATCTTTACAGCATTCATCCATGCATTAGAACACAAAGAGTATAAGTCAGCACCAGTTAAATTCGGTGGAAGACGATCAACTACTGTCTTCAGGTTTACATCAGCCTTTAAATGAAACCTAGAAAAACATTGTCCAAAAAATTATTCTCAGAAGTAAATACGACCAAAACATTAATCAAACTCCATAATGAAAAGAAGGAACACACATTTGGATATTGATTCTTCAAAAAGTAAAAATTACTTCAGATAGAGAAAGCACAGTAATAAATTAGTGAAGCACAATCACATGTTTTGTTGTAAATTTCTTCAGTAAGAGTAAGACCAATTTGGACTTTGAAACGAGATCAAACTTTCCTACCCTTAAAACAGTTAATTTAACTATTTTCTATTTACTGCTTCCATAATTAACACATTATTATTCCAGGTAATGTAGTATCAAATTCTCTACATATTTGGAACAAACCACATTCATGCTTGTGGTCATGGGTGTGTGCAAAGGACATTTTTGCAGTAAATATGAACAATTCCTATTTTTTTCCTTTTTAAACTGACAATTGGGGAAATTGATACACAATATTTGGGGAAGAGGCTTTCCAAACTTTCTGGCAACCCTGTAAATGGGTTAAGGTAAAGTCAAAATTATTTATTAATTATATCGTGAAGGTTATAATTGTATTCTCCTTGTGTAATGTTTTATTTCCAAGAAAAACATTCCTTAAGTAATTAAATCCTGTATGTTCAATGGACAAGAGGGGCCAAAGAATGCTAGAAAAGTTGTTCCCCCGGGTTAGGCTGTGCATGCTTACATGTGGCAAAGAAAAATGTGAGGTGAGAAAGGAAAGACAGAAAAAAAGGAAAGACAGAAAGCACATTCGTAAAATACAAATCCAAGTATAACACAAAAAAATTCTTACTTTCTTGTAAGTGCAACCATCACACTCAACAAAGAATCCTTATCTTCACAAACACCAACATAAAGCAGCTTGTCAAATCTAAATGGACATGTTACTTAATCATTACATATTGTAAATACAAAATAAATGTCACATTTCTCAATTTAAAAAAATCATCAAAAAATCTTAATGTATGTATACCTTCCAGGTCTTAGAAGAGCTGGATCAATTAAGTCTGGCCTATTAGTTGCTCCAATCACAAACAGTTGAGTAGACTTCTGAAGTCCATCCATCTCTGCTAGAAGTTGGGACACTACTCTGATGTATGAAAATGGGAACAAAACAACACAATTATGGCAAAACGTCATGCATTAATTATAATAATTGTAATAATGTTGCAAGCAACAAGAATGATAAATAAAATAACTGTATAATTGTTAATAAAATATTCATACAAAACAAATAATTTAAACCCTTTGTTAATTGACTTCCATCCACTTCAACATTAATCTAATTATTAATTACTGCACTTGTTCCCAACTGGTAATCCACAAAGGAGTTCAAAGTGGTCTATTGAGTTGAGAGTGTTATTTCAAAAAATAGGTTAGATATTCATCTCTGAAGGTAAAGTGCTGGGAACTCTTCAGTGTTTTCTTCGGCACATTCACAAATGAACAAGCGTTTAATGAGCATGAAAATGTGAATAATTATATTCTTGCAATTTACAATTTTATTTGTTCATTTACGATTTTCCCCTTTCATGCTCTTTAAACTCTTGCTCATTTGTGAATACTATTAAGAATGTACTGAAGAGCTCCAAGCCTAATGTTTCACACGAACAGAAACTAAAAGAAGAATTAACTAAATATTTTTATATTAGTATGCAACAGTCAACTCTGACAAAGTTGAGAAAATAATGTTATCATTATCACTGATTCATCAACATGCACAGAACACCACAATAACAGTAAATTAAAATCATTGGAATTAGGTATGATTGAAGAGTTCTGAGGCAAAGTTATTTAATATTCAACGAATGATCTTAAGCTTTCCTCAATTACATACATATGTGAACAAGGTTTTTCTAATTTGCAATCTGTGAAAAACAAGCACAGAAATAGACTGTCCCAAAGTAACAATATGGAGGGTGTGAAGAATATTTAACATCTGTTTTGTTTATTTTATTGTAAGTTTCTTGACCTTAATCAAACAGGCTATAAAAGTTTATAACAATTTATTTCATGTTATATATTTCTTTAACGCTTTGACACTATCTGGAGTTTTTTCAAAGAACAACCTAAAAATACAAAGTAAGTTATATTCAATAAAATAGTTACACTTATCTGATAAAGTGATGCATTGAGATGAACTGAACAACAATAATAATAATAAAAAACAAATGAAGACATACCCAGTGTCCAGGTTAGTTGACATCATAAAATTTACCATGACCATTTTTTATGTCAACTAACCTGGACACTGGGTATGTCTTAATTTGTTTTTTATTATTATTATTATTATTATTATTATTATTATTATTATTATTATTATTATTATTATTATTACTACTATTATTAATATTATTAAATTCGTTTCAATGCATCGCGATATCAGATATGCGTTACCATTTTATTGAATTTTATATTTTTAAGTAATTTTTTAAAAAAACAAACAAGCATGAAGTAAATTGTTATATAAAGGTCTGTTTTATTAAGGTCAAGAAACTTACAATAAAATATGGAGGTTGCTTTGACCAAAGGTATGTCCACAAAGTCCTCCAAGTGAGTGGATATTAACTTTGGAACAGAAAGAAACAAAACATGTTATCTTTGTAACTTGCTAAACATGGTACAGTAAAACTTATTCAATGCAGAATCTCAAGAGACCAGTATTTTTTTCCATATTAGGCAAGATTCTGAATTATACAATGTAATACAGTATGTTCGGCAGGACCACAATTCATGTTCACATTAGACACGTTAGACAGACAGATTTCTGCATGATTGATGTTCCACATTGAGCAAGTTTTACTGTATCATCATAACTATTTTTAATTCTGCATGTTTATTTCTTTTATTCAAAAATATTTTTTGAATGCTTAATACCATCTCTACATGTTGTGCAAAATACAAAAGATTTGTATTTTCACTGAATTTACTGATTTTGCAAGATTTTTTCCCCGATGGATAATTTTAAGAGAATTTTTCTCTCAAAACCAACCAGTACTAATTTTGAACAAAAACTATATCTTTTATTAAGAATTTACAGTGACCTTTTGTCAATTTTTATAATAGTTCATACGTGTTATTCAAGGAGAACAGTGATCTATGGGTTAGTGAGGGATTTGAAGTGTTTAGTGATCCAGTTGTTTAAGTTCAGTTGGAAATTACTGAACTGGAGGCTGCAGACTATCTACATAATTGGTTTGGGTAAAGATATGGTATTAAAAAGCCAGTGGTTATAATACATGTTATTTTCTTAGAAGTTAATAAAGCATTTTTACAGATCATGATTTGTTCTTTAGCAAAATTATATGTACTCTCTTTTGGATTTTACTAAAAAAAATTGTGTGATTGTACACATTTTTACACAATAATAGTACACCTCCTACCTATCCATGACTCCTCCTGAGTCTCCATTTCGTCCTCGATTTGGTGCCAATGAATCCAATTCATCAAAGAAAATTATGCAAGGAGCTGAACTACGAGCTCGTTGAAAAACTTTAAAAGAATAAACCAGAGTTAAAATTAATGTGAATAATTACTATAAAATAATACACGAGTCAAATTCTATGCTGACCAAAAGTATTACATCAGATATGATTTCCCAAAAAGATCAAGTTTCAGTAACTGTTAAACCTATACTACAAATAAATGTAGATGGTTGACAGTTTGTGATCATTGGTAATGTCAATGCCACATTCGAGGTAAGAGTGAAGCTTCAGCATTTGTGCAGTGTTACCACTGCAAATTTTAGAACAAATGAATGACTTGCCCTGAATAATGTGGTTTAATCAGCTGACCATCAGTTGAAGGGTTGAAGGTATGATTGTGTTTAAGTGCACTGCAAAGTGAGAATTGCAATACCACGTGCTGTTAGTTTTATTGTAATTGTTAATTGTATATCATAGCATTGCAACTACATCAATGTGATAGAACATGTAATACATGGTAACACTTCCCCCTGAACACTCAATAGTCAACCATCTTCTCATTTTATTCTGACCTCACTGGGGGAGGGGTGTCTGCAAATACTTTCTTAATACTGAGTAATATTTAAAAAATTTACCTTCTCTAACATTCTCTTCACTCTGTCCTACATACATATTCAACAATTCTGGCCCTTTAACTGACAGAAAATTAAGACTGCATTCTGTAGCAACGGCTTTGGCTAATAACGTTTTTCCTGTGCCAGGTGGCCCGTAAAGAAGAAGTCCTGAAACACAATGGAAGTGTAAAGGGAGATAAACTATCTACAATGCATTTTCAAAAATTGAAAATTACATGTTGTCAACATAACATTAAAACATACCCGAGCGCCTCAGACCAGAGGCAGTTAGTTCTGGGTGACGAAGGGGCATATTTATAGTACGAAGTATTTCCTCCTTAAGAGCAGACAGACCACCAACATCTTTCCAAGATACAGTAGGAATTCTAGGGGCTCCAATGGCATCAGCATATGCAGCATGCATTGTCTCTGTCGCATTAAAAATCCTTTTAAAACTAAAAATATTCAAATCATGTTAAAAATATTGAATTATTAAGTACCTAAGGCTTCATCTACATCTTCTTTTAGTAAAAATATTTTTCTTCTTGATATTTCACAATTTTCTGATTTAGACAGTGAAGTTGATCTTAATTGCTTGTAACGATTGCTGTCAAAAAAAGTGATATATCAATTTCAACATCTTTAACATCATTTCCAAAGTGTTTAAAGATTATAAGAATCATAATAAAAGAAAATTATACAATTATTCAAACATGATACCTAAGAGCATTGCTTAATAATGCCACAATATCAGCAAACAGAAATCCAGATGTCTGAGCTGCCAATTGTTGAACTGATAGTTCAGTATCCAATTTTATATTATCTTTCTTAAGTAACCATGTCAGCATAGATGCTCTCTGCGATTCGTTTGGAACAGTAACGTGTAAAACATTCAGGAAAGTTCGCGCTACTGCAGCAGGTAGTGACGACTAAAAAAGAAACATTAAAACCTTTTGTAAACTCTGTAAATGTAAACTCTGATTTTCTGTAAAAACAACAATTTCTATCAATTACTAGTTACAATTACTGTATATGATTCACCTAATTTAGATTTAGATGATTCACCTAATTTCAAACTGAATTAATTTATGGTGCTTTAAAATTAATTACAAAGAAAAAGAAAATAAGATTCTATGACAGCAGAACTTAATTTTTTATCGATGAAACAAATTATTCATTTTTCATTATGTTTTATTTTGTACATAAAGTACAGAGAAACAAGTGAATCCCACAGTTCAAACTGTTCACAAATTCAATTTCCTGAATTTTGCAGCAACTAGTTACTGATTTTCAAAAAAACAACTTTTAAATGCATATTATTCAACTACACAAATATTATATTAATACCATTAACAATGTTTACAAACAATGTTAAATGACATAACTTCTAACAGAAATAAATCTCTCTTAATTCCCTTTTTTGTACAATAATTCCAGAGCAAAATTATACCTACACAAGAATCTTTAATAGTATCACAGGTTGCAATAATGAAAACAGGATATTTGGAAGTTTCTCTAGTATAATTAAATAAATTTGTTATCTCTTCCTGAAATGTACTCATTATTCTTTGATCATCTTCTCCATCTTTGTCTTTAAACATTGCCTGTAAAATAGTATTCACCATAAAAAAAACATGAATTTATATGAATATTAGTACAAAAAATAATACATAAAATTATTATAAATTAATAATGAAAAAAATAAAAGGTTTAATTGCATCATGAATAGGTGAAAACTAACCTCTAAATTCCTGAAAAATAAAATGCAAGGAGAGCATTTCTTAACTTTGCTAAGTACAAGTTTCAGCTTTCCTTCTGAATAGCCAGTTGTTGAACTATGCATATGAGAACAATTAACTGAGAGTACATTAACACCAATTGATGAAGCTACATGTTTTACAATTTCTCTTTTACCAACTCCTTGTGGCCCAAATAACAAGAACATTGGATTTATCTCCAGTGCCTGGTGTTTTACTAAAAATGGGTGCAACTGGGCAAAAAGTTGTTCATAGTATTCGAACAATCCTCTGGGACAAATATCTAGAATAAATGACTTGTAGTTTTTTGCTGTGACAGTCTTTGAAGTGTTAGCAACACACGAAGACTTGAGAGGTAAATAACAATGTTTATTAGTAACTTGATGAAGGGTTGAAACCTCCTTATATACAAAATAACCACAGACAACACTATTTGAAGGTATTTCTACAGTGTCTGGACCAGATAAATCAACAACATTAAAAAAGAGTGGATCACTCTTGGGTGTACTCTCTGAAAAATTTAACAATGACAAATATTGTTTTATTTCTATGCTATAAATGAATCCTTTAGTCAAATATCGGGGAATTCGAAAGTGCATTTTCAAAATATCATTTAATACTTCACTTTCAATATCATTTGAAGACTGCACCAAAGCAATTTTAGCTGTTTCTGCTGTTTGCGGCACAAAGCTAGTGGAATATGTTTCTGAAATAGTTGATTTTGTAACAATACTGGCAAAAATTGCACATAATTCTTTGGCCACATCCAAATTTTGAAGATTTTTCAAATTGTGATTCATGACATCACCAACAATGGCATACATGTCTTCCAAATCTTCTAGAGCTATCACTTGAACAATAATAGCATTCTGTTTCATTTGTGATCCTGCTTGCTTATCATGTCCGTCTTTCACATATTCATTACAAAATATTCTCATTTTAACCCAACTGCCATTTAACACACCCAATAACTTGAGTGTACTGTCTGGAATTAAAACACAACTGCAAGGATCTGTGGTATGTGAATTTCCATAATAAGTATTAATGAGTTTTGTCACTATTTCTTGAGGTACAACACGAATTATATGGCTTGCCATCTTTCTTTTACGATATTGATATATTATGTATAATTTTGAAAGCAGGGGAAAAATAATTTGTGGGTACTTCGGATATAGGATTCTTGTGGTGAACTGCAAAACATTCAACAAAGTTTGTGCTTCCGTATTATCCTTAAAATAAACCATTACTATGTCGATATTCACAAATATATTGCAGAATGTTTACCAGTCTTTTAACTAGAAGCTTAGCTGGATGTCAACATAATATCGTCATTTCTTAATAGTAGCATATCAAAGCTGACAATTTTTCCACTCTCATCGTGCATCACACGTACACCGCGCCGACTTTCTTCGATATCGAGGATCTCGATGAATGAGGTGCGGATGATGTGCTGCATTTTTGGAAGCGCATGGCAGGCCTGTAAGCAGATGGTAATACAGGAAACAAAAGATACACAATGGCGTTGGTTTGAACTACGGTGTAATTGTTACACCTGCTGTATTACACCGTGGCATGAATGCGTTATGCCGTGGTTCGAACCTGCGAACTAGAGATATTGAAAATGAAAATATTTATAACTAGTTGGTTCGAACCGGAAACTGAAAATTCAATCTACGTGTGAAAAGTGTTACCGTGGTGTTAAAAATTACCTACCACAGAACGACACCATTTCTATTTATCTATTCATGGTGGTATTACCAAAATACTAAAGAGACTATAATATTTGGTATTACCAAAAAATACCCATGATCACCCATACCCATAGCAGGGAGCGCGAGAACAGGTGACCACATTTTGAAAACATAAAAACGGGACATTTTATTTTGTCACAAAAATAAGAGGATGTTAAACACTAGTTTATCACAAATATTTAGGTTTGTAAATTAAGATTAAATACATAAATACGCTTAAATTTCATGAAATTTATTTCGACCAACTTGAGAATAATGTTTACAGGAGTGCGCCCTTGTAATTGTTTATTTCCTCGAAATCTTGTGTCTACCCAGTTTCTATTTTAATTGTATTTGGACGTATCTGCACCTCCCATAAATAAACGCTACTTTTCTCCGAAGAACGAATCAAAATGTTGATCAAATTTCTTCGATGAGCAGAAAATTTGTACTGTAACATTCGTTTAAATTCGTATAAATCGTCCCATAGGCTTTATGTAAAGTACCTCCCAAAATTAAAATATCGGTTTCAAATTCTAGGGGCTCTAACATCAGCCAGATCGATTGGGGAATTAAATTTTGGAGGAAATCAACTGAACGGTTTTGCCACTAGCTTTGTTCACGGACAGACGGACGGGCGTTTTGCCATCATTCGATTTTTTGGTTACAAAGACATACAAAACATGGATTCTGGTTACACCACGTTTAGCTTAGATTTCTTTCCTGCATTTAGCAAATGCATGTATCCACTGTGTCATTACCAGAGCCCTGTAGTAAGAGTTCTTTGGCCAAAAATTCGCCTTGTTTTCGCGCAGCATTACATTATTTGCTCTCTATTCCGTAACGAAAAAGTAAAAATATTTTCGAAAAATCATTCAAACAAACAAAATCGTATCGAAGCATGAGCTGAGTTTAGCCTGCATCATTCTACATAATCTGTTATATGACACATCTGACCAAAAGATTTTGAATAATTTTTTTTTTTTTTTAATTTATCGATCACAGTCGGGAATTCAAATAGTATCCCTAGGATGGGGAAATGTAATAACTATTGGATCGGGTTTTGATACCAAAAATGATCAATAAAATACTCTAAAAATGTTTTTAAAATGCCCTAGAACGCAAAGAAAAGTGACGCTTTTCTTTCTTTTCTTTTCAAAACACATATATGTTACCGATGTAATCGCAGTGGCGGATCAAGGGGGCCAAGCCCCCCCCCCCCCCAAAAAAAGATCTAAAGAAAAATAAAATGGCAAAAGGGTAAGGAAAATAAAAATGAGAAACACAAAAAAAATTGTAGAATAGTCTAAAATGTAGCGCGTTCTGTCCTTAGACTTTTAGATAAGAATGGAAATACTGATTCTCGCCGTATTTTAGCCCAGTGGTACTACGTGTCCTCCAGAGGCGTGTGACAGCTCATATCTCTTTCTAATTCCACTTGACAAGTGATGTTACGGCGACTTCCACGTATTGGTGTGGCTGAAAAAAGTGTTGTGTATCATTGAATATATATATATATATATATATATATATATATATATATAGATAGATAGATAGATAGATAGATAGATAGATAGATAGATAGATAGATAGATAGATAGATATAGATATAGATATAGATCCGCCCCTGCTTAACACAACGGCTTCCATTCAATGATCTCTTCAGTTGGTCCAGGGGACCCAGGTCCATTCCATTTAAAAACAGCCCATACCATCATGGAACCATCACCAGCTTGCAGAAGATTCAAAACTGAGTGCATAAGAGCATTGCGAAGACACAGTGTCGCAAGTAAAACAAATTCGTAGCCATCGTACAGGATGGCAATGTGGAATCAATATTACAAAGAAAAATCGTTTCGACACGTTAAGTGCTAATGTAAATTTTAGAGCCAGAATAAAAATGTGATTCATTTCAATTATTAATTTTTTACACCAATTCCTTTTAAATGTGATTTTACATTGTGTCTTTTTTGTACCCCTATTTTAGCCACAGTAAATATCTTTTTAAATGCCTATTTTAGTAAAAATAAATGCCTGTTTGCCTGCCTATTTTAGGTAAAACAAATTCCTGAACTTCCACGCTCTAGTTATCACATTAAGGAGAGAACACGCTTTTGTGTTTTAGTTTCAATAACCCAACATTTCGCGCAAGTAATTTAATGCAACGATTCAAATCCCGCGCCTAAACGTGACTATTCGAATCCCACGCCAAAATTCAATTTTGAAGTTAAAATCGACGAGATGTATATCTTGTTTTGAACGCCTGAATCACTGGGGAAAATGCTTTCAAAATGTTTTCCACTTCACTTTTTGCGGCCTTCTTGCCCAAAGCATCAGTTTCTAACAGTATCTTTTCTTCAAACTACTTTTCTTTCTGTTAGAGAAGGCACTAAGAAATGGAATCTCACGAAAACCTTCAGTTACTATTCATTCCGATTCTCATGAACTAATGCAAGGGTATGTATAACAAATCTAAGGAATTAGAATTGTGAGGGAGAATATTATTTCTTCTTACCCCAAATTGCATGTCGTTCATACTTTCAATACGCATTTCATATACGCTTTAATAATATGAAGTATTTTATTTTGATTTTTTGAAAGGCAATACTTTGTACAAAGCAATTTCTATTGCTGGCTGCCAAAAATGTCAGACCATGGGGTTTGTTTCATTATTATGATACACTATCAATAGCAATATCGAATTTCCATTCCTATTCTCCGATTAAAAATTATCTATTGGTGAGTTAAAAGAGGGAGCACAATCATCCCAGCGAGAGCTCGGAAACTATTTTAATCGGTTTTTTGAGTTCAATTTTGTAACCCAACGAAAGTTTTTTCATGTAATTATGATTATTTGATGATACATTTTTAAAACTTTTGCATTTTTATATAGGTAATAGGTTTTGATCAGGGAATTGTAATTTAAAATCATGAATGTGGAAGCGGTACTAAATGATACGTCCGTAGCATTTCCACGCATGAAGGGCTTTTTTCATGGTAACAAGACAATCGTCTTGGCAACTGTTTCTTAAACTTAATATTGAAAACTGACCTACTTCACGTGCGAACAGCAATACGCAGAATCCGCCTTTTTCACACTTTTTCAGTATACAGTTATAGAATTTTTTTTTCAAATTCGAATCTGTTACTTACGATCCCAGATTCTCCTTTCAATTATTTGGAATTTTCTAAAAATATTGGCCATACTTCAACTTCTGTTTGCACTTAACGAGCTAAAATATACTACATATATCTAGTACATTGTAGCTCGTTGGTACATAACCCTGATCATATGCAAAACGTTTTATTAAATGACTGCTTTCAAATAGTTTCGAACTATTTTTAAAATACGCCATTATTTTCTATTCGTTCAATGTTTAGTTCTTATATCTTACACCGTGATTCTTATGCTTTGTCTACTTTAATTGCACATCGCCCCTTCTTTTTCATCTATTTTTTATTATTAAAACAAAAGCATTGTGAAGTTGAACTTAAATTGTTTTTATTCTAAATCTAAACAAACGACTGATAAATTAATTACTCCGATTTCTATTTTACTTAATCATCAAACGACATTATTTTTGCATTAATAAAAGAAAATACATGCCCAAATCCACGACAAATGGATAAAATTAAATAAAGTACTTTCTTAGACAGATCTTAGTAAAAGCAGTTACTTTTAGGTAGGGGTCCCATATTTTGAAAACGAAAAACCGGGACTATACAAAATTATGGTTGTGAGGAAGGGGAAGTCTCGTACGAAACAAAATACCCATATTTAGAATACCGTATGAACCCAGAAATATTTCACCCACTCATTTTGGTGCGTTTAAAGACTGCATAATTATAGAAATGAACTATTATGAAACTGACTCATTAAAAAAAAAAGTTAAAAACATCATCTCGTCAGATATCACATCCCATTTTGTCATTCGAAGAGTCAGTAGTTTCTTTTTTAAATGAGAACTGCGCCTTTAAATTTTCACTGAAAACACATTTTTTCTCGGGCATTTTATAGCGTTTTTTATTAAAATAAAATTTTATTAAACTGCCTAGAGTTACCAGAGACCTAGACACTTTTTTTATAATTACATACAGGTATAGTGTTTATACTACTACAGAAGAGAGCTCAATTTAGACGTTAATTCTGCACTGTACGGTAAATTGTGACTACAGCAGCTTTATGATTATGGGTTCTTCCTTTCTCTGTTTCAATATTTCCTGTGCATCATAACGGTACGACATACCTTGTTCTTATAGTTAGATACACTGGGTATCACTTCTAATATCATTTTTGTTTCTCTAAAGCAGTTTTATTTTTTGTATAGTTGTGTTAGAAATATAAAAATTATAATAATCAATAAATAGATGACACAGACTAAAAAATCAGGACTTTTGAAAACAAATTAGGTCAGTCCCTGCAAGGTCTGAAAATCAGGATGTCTGGTAATCCTAAAACTGCCAGAAATTATTTCTTTTACCTACTCACCAGACACTATATTCTTTGCTCACCAGAACATATGCACACGAAAAGGAATAATGCTAACGAACGAACGCTTCTTTTTAGGGTATCATTGTCAACTTAACCAACAGTTCACCGGGATATTGAAAGTCACAAATTCAAAATAACTATACGTGTTATCAGAAAATATTGAACGATTTTGTATTTGTTCAATCCCAGGGCATTTTAGTACAACGCCGGGACAAAGATTAAAAATTCTAGACTGTTCTGAAAAAAAAACGGGTCGTATGGGATCTCTATTTTAGGGAAATCATGACGTGCTAAAAGTTTGATTTTTAGCCGTAGTATTTTGAGCAGCAAGACGATGCTCAATTTTCAAATAAGACTGTGAATACGACAAAGGAAACAAAATACTTTCGTGTGATCGCATCAGCTACTACTGACGCAACGTTGTGATTTGTATAATTGAATAAAAATAAAATATAAGTCAGTAAGGCTGTCTAAACATTATGTATGGCACACGTGGTAAAACTGTAAAAGTAATTTTATTTTGTTCGTAGTATTGTGCCACTCGGTCTATCGGACTCACTTCCAACTCGTAAAATAAAATGTCACTTTCCTCACTCGTATCATAAGTACTAACTCTTTTAGAGGTGCTAAACTTAAAATTTTATTAGTATAATATGTTTCATATTTCACTTATGGTTCATTACCACAAAAAATAGGTACTCATATGCTGAATAATTTTGAGAATTGATTTCGAATAATGGAACATTGTGGTTTGAGGATGCTTTGTAGAAACTACTTTCTGGGAAGGAGTGGAAAGGGAAAAAGGCTTGAATTTCTTAGTTGAATTTATTGTATTTATTTGTCGAAACATTTTGCCATTAATCGTTAAGAGATGAGAAAACGTTTGTTTGAACGTTGCTTTGCACCGTTATTCCCTCCACTACTAAATTTGTGCAGCATTTACCTATACTCTTTTTTTCTCGGTCAACGCTGTGCCAACAATCGCAGACGGTTCAACAGCACTGCCAATAACGAACTTTCTTTGATCGTCATCAGTTAGTTGTCCTTTGAATTATGCAACGTGTCAACCTCTAGTCCAATATTATACAGTGTTTTATGTGCGTCATTTGAATTACATCTTCAACGAAAAGGCGCGAGTTAATACTCTTTTATGTGCAAATATGCCCCCAAAAAAGAAGAAGCAAGCCAAAAATGCCTTCTATTATTTCCTTGTTGAATTTAAGGAAGAAGCAGTAAGAAATGGACGAAACGTCGACTCCATTGCATTTGAAGAAGAAGCAGATCGGGAATGGAGAAATTTAAGTCATTCTAAGCGTCTCCATTATGAAGAAATTGCCTTAGAAAAGCGGAAGAAAATGGACAGTTTAGAAAACAAATTTACAACAACGGGCGTTAGTTACGCTCAATTGCAACGCGAAGAAAGGGAGCGTATAAGACAAGAAGAAATGATGATTCATGAAATTGAATCAACAGTTCGATCCCTAACGGGCAGGACATTGAAAACTAAAGTGTTTCATTTTATTCACGTTAACACTTATTGTCGATTATTGGATGGCCATTTCCTACCATGCGAAATCGGAATTGCCAAATTTACTTTTGAAAATGGGGTCAAAGACTGTTACCACGCAATTATACGTTTAGAATGTATGCCTACTGGTTACTTCCTCGAATGTCAAAAACATTCTGAAGAAACTCATCAAATACCTTTGCCTCCTGAAAATTCTTTAGGTGAATGGGACAGTGAGAAGATTTTGGTGGAAATAGAAGCGTTTTTAGCCGAAAATGGAGTTTATCCACCTGTATATACTTTGCAGTCGAATATTGAAGCAGCTCAGGACACATTAACTACATTTGCTAGTGGAAAAGATACATTTCGAGTTTATCCAATTGCAAAACTATTATTTGAATTGAGAAATGCCTGTGCTAATGAAGCTGGCGGAGTTGGTTTTCCTGTATTAAGTCTAGCAGAACGGGAATTTGAAAAAGATTTCTTCAATCTTTCTCCTGGTATATCATGTTTTTATCATGAAGGAATGGATGCTTGTCAGTACTGTAGTTTGAGTATTGTTAAGCGTTGGTGTTTTCTGTTTGCAAGCTTAGGTTGCCCAGATTTAGGTGTAGCACTAAAACCTGGTAGCCATAAACCTAGAAAAGTTACTCTACCTCCAGCACCACCTGAACCAATGACATCTAAGACCCAAGTTAGTTTGCGAAAAGGAAAAAAAGGAGCTCCAACAACTGATCCACCACCAATCACTATAATTGATTATAGTAGCACCAAACCTTCGACTGAGTTTGATGATGAAGCAGTTAAGACAGATTCACCTTTAGCACAATTTGGAACATACATAAGAGCAACAGCTGAAGAAAATTTTCAAAAAGATTCAAAGCAGTATGAAACTTCAACATTAAACCCATATTCAATGCACTTCTACAGTCGTCTCGTACCTGCAGAAGAAAATTCTGATGTCTTGAAAGTGCCCACCCAAATTGAATATAATAGGCCTACTTTCATTAATAATGAAAACAGTGTCTCATATTGTTCCACAAAAGTAAAACCATTTTATTCCCAAAGTAATGATATTCATGATAAGCTTATTCCTATTAGGAAAGATCTAACTGAAGAGCAAGACCATATATCGTATTTTCAACCAGTATCTTACGAGGGATCTTCTAAAAACAAACTCAAAACAAAACAGCAACAAATGTCTCAATCACCTGAATTATATTCTCAGTTTGTTCATGAAATGCAAGACAGTATTTCACAAAATTTAGAACCATCTTCAGAAGAACCTGTAGATGATTTTGATATATATGTTGATAGCATGTTTCAACCCATGCCTATTCAAAAGCAGGCACCAGCTGTATGCATAACATCTAGAAATGTGAGTAATCATCCCACAACACCTTGGAAAAAATCATCTGTGTCATCCCTTAGGCAGAGTGAGAATTCACACTCTCCTCACCAATATAGGAATCAATCTCAAATGTGTCGCATGAACAGTTCTGCAGCTACTCAAGTTGCTACATCATCACCACAACATAACAGAAGCCAGTCTCCAGGATATAGCATTGATGTAAATGTTGGACATGGGGGAAACATAGGTCCAGAGCCTGATTTCTATGAGATTTCTTCTGTTCGTCCTGGAAGAGAATATTTCTGTAATGAAAAATCTTCCAACCAAATTCCTCCAAGGAAACTGGAAGAGCAACAGTGTCCAAAAAATGGTATTACTTCCAATGTTCGTGTGCCTGGAAGAGGCCGTGGGCGTGCCCGGGGCCTGTCCATGCTTTTGGAGTGAGATACATCTCTCATACAAATATCAGTTTTAATCTTATTGTACAATATACTTTGTATGATCATTACAGTAGATTATTTTCATTTTTTTCTTCATGATGATAGCTATTGTACAAATGTTACAAGATTGTAGTCTGCTATGTAACTTATTTACTTAAGAATCACATTTTATTTCCAGAAACTTGACAATATTATTTCTCTATTGGGGAATCATTTGAATTAACGGTGTGTGAACTACAATACTAGCTGTATTCATTTATAACTGCTAATATTTCGTTTTAAGTGCTTCATACCTAAATATTATGTAAATGTTAACATTTATTCTCAAATGGTATACTACTACAATTTTTGCATTATATTTTTGTTCTATTCGTTTTTGCATTAGCAGAATTAATAATATAGGTAATTATTATTAAAAGTTCAGGAGAAAGTAAACAAATGTATTCTCTAGTGTATAAATAAAGTGTCACATTTTCAAATTGTCATGAATTTCCTGGGCCCAATAATTTCCTGGATTTTAATGTTCATTACAAGAGTTCAATAAATGAGTAAAGTAAGTAACTTTTTTTTTGGTATTATTCCAAAGGAGCAAATGGAAGCCTACTCTTGTTAGGCACATGATGAGAAGGCACAATGTTTTTAACAGTTATTCATTTGAATTTTTATTAGGTTTTTGAGGATTTAACCAAAATTTCCAATATGTTCAAAATGTTCTTGGTTGGATCATGATTTCTTGTTCAGCTTTTTAAATCAAAGTAGGGAAAAAATATGTATTGAAATTCAAAATATGTCCCGATGTTCATACTATTTCCCGAGAACCAATGCTGTTTACAGCTTTTGATATTATAATCTATAAAATGAATTGACTGTTGTAATATTGGTTCTGCTTTCAATATTTTTTGTGACAATAATCAATGAAAAGAAATCTAAATCTAGTTTTGATGATACTTTTCTTTAGAACAGTTCTTTAGAAGAAGTTTCAAGAAATAGCTTTGAAGCTATGATATATTAAAATGTAATAATTGGAGATGGGAAAGAACGTTAAAATTATATAAATCTATTGTTCAATTTCAAAATTCCCACTGAAGCAGTACGCACAGATGATACATGTAGTTTCGTAAAGTCAGAGTAAACATGTTTAGGGGACCTTGCTACTGCTGCTACTCCTTTTCTCCTCCCCCCCCTTCCACAGCAACCATGCAGCGTCGTCATCGGGAAGTGTTGTGTATTGGGGGATGGACCGCAGCAGATGACGTTTGGTGTCAGAGCGCGGCTGCCGGTGAACTGACATTTGACGTTTACGATTGTCCCAGGCAAGGGGAGAAAATTGAAGATAAGATAAGGCCTGGTAAAGTTTGTGGTGAAGGGTGCCTACAGAACGGTTCTGTAAACCCTGGTTTGCTGTCCGGATCTCGTTTCTAGTGTTGTCTTTAGAGTACATAATAAACGTGATTTATTGCGATGATGCTGCAGCCGTGAAGAGTTTGTTTTTGATTTATTGTAAACAATTATTGAAATGAAATGACACTTGTTTTAAAAATATAGAGTTTGAGCCAATAATTGCGTTTTTATTTTGGCGTGATGGAAAAGGAAAGGTAAGCATTCGTTTGTGTTGATACTACTCGTTATAATTCACCGCACTGCATCTTGGCATCACACATATTGTATTATATATTGAGTGGTATGTGTGACGCATAAATTTGAATTATTATTTTAAAGGTTTACTTTACTTCTTCTTGAGCCAGGAGAAATATATTTTGAAGATTTCAGTGTTTTCTTGTTTCCTGAGAATGTCACGGTTGTTGATTATGAAAGGAGAAGAGAATTAGGTCGACTGAAGATGTGTTCAAAATCAATTGTTTTTGATCCAAAGGACATTTTGCAGCCTATTATTAAAATACCTCTGAAAGAGTGTACAAAAATATGTGAGTGGAAGGGAGATGTATTGTCCAAGTAAGGCCTTGTATATCATGTTTCCTATTTTGTTGTCAAGTGGATGTGGGTAGGAAATATTTTTACAATTGCTATTGATATTGTCTTCAGAGTTGCACCTACAAATTGTGCTGTTGCTGTGGAATGTAACCAATATGTGGAAATGCTGGAAGGAAATATTTTGGCCCCTTATGCATTTAAAAATGTAAGAATGAAAACAATGCCTAAATTTGCTATATTTACACTGTATTGACTTAAGAAGTAGAAGTGTTAATATGAAAGAAATGAAACTTGTAATTTTTAGGTGAAACGTAAATTCATATTTCTCCTGAATTATGCTCGAATAATTGATTGCTTGCCTCAAATTAGTCAGCTACATAGAGCATCTACATTACCAGTGGCAGAACAGAATAGTATGGTAAGTTTAATTTAAGTGGATCTCAATACAAGTCCTTTTTTTGGTTTTTAATTGATTAACCCCTCTGCTTTTACTAAGAGAAGTTAAAGGACATCATGTGCTTGATTAGTACACTAATTTGATTCTGAAATTTTGCTCAAAATTCAATTTACCCAGAGGTTGCAAGTAATTTGAATTAAAATCCCTACATATTTTCTAGTATCCTATTATTTTGTAAGATAAGACTGTTCATCAAACTTGTTTAACTTGCAGTTTCTTAGATACCTTTAATAAATACTAGTCAACAAAGTTATTTTGGACAATTTTTAATGTACTTATTTTGCGATAAAAAAAGTAATTTGCTGATATTCAATGCCCCAACTAATGCCTGTTTCAAATCTGTCTACAGAATAAATTTCATTCATTGTAATATTTTGCAGATTGCTACAATTGTTTACTCCAGACAAGCTAGAGTAAATTTTGATACATTGTGGTTGGAGGATTTGTACGAGAAAGTAGTTTTGGAGACCCAGGGAAATAAAATTACCCCACTTGTTGTGAATCCAGGAAGAATTCTGTTAACATCATCAAGATTATATTTTCAACCTTACAATAATGTTGAACCAGTGAGTTTAACTATTGTGGATATCATTGTAATACGTAAATTGTTACATTAAAAAATTAATTTTGTTTTGTGCAGTATCCTGTTCTTAAGATACGCCTACAGGATATGAAACGAATAATTCGAAGAAGATTTCTTTTGAGACAAGTGGTATGTATAGACATAAAAAAAAGAAAGAGCACTTTTGTGCTCTTAAAGATATTAAGCATATTTTTTCTGGAATTGAAGGGCTCAGTGGAACAAGGGGTTATCCCACATGAACATAGTCCTGAGTTATTGAGGTTTTATACCTGAACGTTTCTATATAATTGAGTACATTATTTAACTTTTAAACACAGTAAACGTGTATACAAGTCCATACTGCATTTAAATATCATATTACACTAAAGTAATAAAATTTTAAGTTGTATATAATACTAATAACTCAATATCACAAAACTGTGGGATAGCCCCTTCTTCTACTGAGCCCTTTAATTTTTTTTGTTGGTGGAGCGTTACATAACTTAACCTATGAATCATGATAAACACACTGATGTCGTTTCTCATTTTTTTGCTATTTCTTACAGTTCAAACTCTGTGCTTGTGTTCAAACTCTGAGCGTTAGAACATTTGTTAAAATTTGAAATAGGGAAATGCAACTTCATTTACGGTAGTTATTTTAAGTAATTAATATTGATTTTTTTTCTCCAATAAAATAAAATGCATAATGATAACTAATAAAGAAAGTTTTAAAAATTATAAATAATCACTTTAAAGTTAGTAATAAATTTTGAATTCTGTACAAAACTAGTTGTGCTATCACATGACAAGCTTTCTCGTATTACTTGTACCTATTACAATATTAGTTGAAATTGGAGAAGTCATTTTCATTAAAGTTTGAAAATGTCATTTGGGCGTAATGCAAGATAATTCCCAAAATTAAAATATTAATTTCAAATTCACGGAATGCATCATCAGCCAAATTGATTGGGAATATGAAATGTGGTGAAATTCCTAGGTATCGTTTAGAAGCTATTCTGCAGGCATACATTTTGCTTAAAAAAACAAAACCTTTTTTTGAAACAAAAACATCAAGGATTCACAAAATTTGGATTCTAACTACCCAACAAATTCAAGAAAGTAATTTACTGTCTATAGGAGCAAGACATTTTTTTTCATTTTTGGTATCGGGAACCCACAACAAAAATGCATTATTACAATAAAATTGCACACACACACCACTCTTCTCTGCAGCATTGCAATACTATATGCTACATAGTAGTAGTCAAGAATGTTGGATTCAAACCTAGAAAAAGATGTGAAGATCAGGATTACTTTAGTTAAAGACAAGAATACTGAAAATAAAGAACACGCCATAAGATCTAACTTCTCCAATGAAGTAAATTTGTCTTAATAATTCCTTGCAAAATACTAATATTTTTTACTGGGAGAAAATATTTCTTTGTGCTGAAAGTTTGACGCAGCACTTATAAACGAATTAGCAAACCTCTTTTATTTTATGTTTATTCATATCTGGTTTGATGCAAGAAAACCCTGGATTCAGAACAGATTTGATGACATTGAATTTTGTACTTAATATTTAACTTGTCTGGAAATTCTTTATAGATTATCTGAGCTTTTATTTTTGGAAATATTTGCATTCTAAATCTCACAAATCAGTAATGCAAATGTATTAATAAATAAGTAACCTTTAAATGACAAATTTGATGTATAGGAGTATTTTCAAAACAAATGTTGTTTTTTTTTTCATTTAATTTGGAATGGAAAAACGCCCATATTCAGCTTTTGATTAAGGGATTTTTATTACTTGACTGCTCTTTTTGTCAGATATTTTTCCAAAACTTCCAGTAATAAGTTTTGCACCATTATAGATAAGTTTTGAAACCAAGGAAAAGGGTATAATTTTCTCAAAGGTAAATGTTTGTACTAAAATCAACATTTAAATTATGTATTGTATTAATAACTTATGATTTTCACTTATAGCCTTGAAGCAAGAATACATTTTATTCAGTAACACAATCCATAGATGTTCAAATACCATTATGAAAATGAAGTTGAATATTTTGATAAGTTAAGATATTAATCAAGAAATTAATAGAAGTTTACTGCAACTAAATTTACTGATTTTGTTTAGGGTTTGGAAATTTATTGCGACAACAGTTGTCATGTGACTCATCTATTTCTTTCTTTCAAATCTACAACTGAAAGAGATACATTGTATCACAGTCTTCTTGCCCAGCCATCTCTTAGATTAGATAACACAGACCAAGAAGTAATGACCCTCCAGTGGCAGAATGGAGTAATATCCAACTATGACTACCTGCTATATCTTAATAGGTAGGTACGCTAAAATTGCTTGATGAGGATGTGTGCATGAAGTTTTAGGCACTACAATCACAAGTCTTCAAATAACCATATATTTTTCAAAAAGTATCTTGATGTGTTGATTTACTCTCTGTTTACAGCCTTGCTGATCGAACATTCAATGACTTAACACAGTATCCAATATTTCCATGGATTCTTTCTGATTATTCTTCTCCAAAGTTGGATTTGCAAGATCAAAAATCATTCAGGGATCTGACAAAACCTGTTGGGGCCCTTAATGAAGTACGCCTTGCAAGATTAAAGGTAATTGTATCTTAAAAGTCCATTTCTGAGATTCTAAACAAAGTGAAAAGGAAAACCTGATGAAATGATTATTGAAGCATTAATTAAAATATTTCCTGATTTATTTTGAGTTTGATATAGTTAAAGAGCCAAATGTGTCTCTCTTGAATATATTCTTATTGATGGAACATCAATAATCATAAACAGTATTTGACATATTTTTGTGGCAATGACTGAAAAGAAGCTGACCTTAATTGAATCATTTCATTAATACACAGATATTATACAATTCTTGCATGTTAGACACAGACCAAGATCTACACTCTTCCATTAAAGATTGAAGTGATATGTAGACATTAGAGAGTGAGCCAAGGTGTGATTTGGCAGTTTTCTCCAGAAGGTGGCATTCAAAACTTCAGGAGTGGTTGATTGAAGAATGTGTAGAGAAAGAAATACCTTCTTTGCTTATGCTACACAATTTAAATGAATCCTAATGATGTCAAGAGTTTTCTTGTCTAACTTCTGTCATTTTGATTCCTTTATTTGAACACTTTGTAGTGTGGTAATCATAAATATAAAAGGTGATCTGGATTAATTGTATCCCTGGTGAGGATTAATTAATGCTTGTCTAGCAGGAGATATCCAGTTTACTCAGAGGGCACAATCCACATCAGCCCCTTTGACATTCTCCTCATCTTGGAGCTAGCCTCTGTGATACAAGGGCTTGAAGCTTTTAGAGTATGTGGAGGTGAAGGCTGCATGTAAGAATTTCATGTAAGGCAAGAGCATTTTTACATCGTAGCTGTGGCATTGAATGCCCTCATTTCCCGCCACAGTCACCCTACTGCTTCCTTAATGCTGTGAAAGGCAAAGGCCAACTACCACTGAGGCCACCTCCCCAGGAAAGAGCAGAACATACAGGATTCAGTCTTCTGTCTTCCTCATGATCAGAAATGAGTATGTCACTCATAACACAGATTAGAAAATATCTTTGAATGAAGAGAGGAAACTAAACTCAGTGTATTAGCCAGTACTAGGGCAAGAAACAACATAACGATAATAACACTAAAATTTAAATTCTAAATTCTCTAAATCATCTTCACTTTAAGCAGGCAGCTACAGCACATCTGCCAGTTGATCACAAAAAGTTTTTTGACTTAAAAATACATTTGAAGTTATGAGATGCAGTGACTCAAGGTTGTTTTATATACGGATGCAAGGAGAAAAGTTCGTGGCCTGACCCAGAGATGTCACTCCAAACAGTAAAAATGTGTATACCAAGTTTCAACATTTTCTCTCATGTAGTTTATTTACAGGAATTTTTTGCAGTAGACATGTTGCCTGTTATTTATGAAAATGGATTAAATTGAATATCGTTTTGGTCATCAAATTTGTTTTGGATGGATTAACCCCTAAGGAAATTCATCCGAAGTTGACTAAAGTTTACGGGAACTCAACTCCTTCCATGTCAACCATGATCTAATTCTTGTGCTATTTCCTCTATTGTTGATTGCTTTATCTAATTACTAACTGTTTAAAATGTTTGGGACAAAATCTGAGTGTAATGTATGTCGCTCTGAAGGTATATATTAAGCAGAAGGCATAAAATTCCTTTCTGTATTTGTATTTTGATTATGATTAAAAACCAAGTTGTTTACAAGAGCTTATGGAAGAAATGGCAAAGATCATGTAAAATATTAAAACATTGACAATAAATGATATAATTTTTTCAATTTTTCAGGAACGATTTGAAGAAATGTCACATCCAAAATTCTTGTATGGTTCACATTATTCTGCTCCAGGCTTTGTACTGTTCTACTTGGTCCGAAAATATCCACATTATATGTTATGTCTTCAGAATGGAAGATTTGATCATCCTGACAGAATGTTTAACAGGTGGTATTTTCTATTTGTTTTGAATTTCCAATTTGTTGGAATATTTATTATTATTATTACTACTATATTATTTATTTTTCTTTCTTTTACGTGTGTCTAGTATTCCAGATGTGTGGAAAAATGTTTTAACAAACATGTCAGATTTCAAAGAACTAGTCCCCGCATTTTATGATCTCCAAGAAGGAGGAAGTTTCCTTACTAATAATTTAGGCATTAATTTTGGTTACCGTCATGATGGCATTAAAGTGGGGGATGTTGAATTACCTTGCTGGGCAGATAGTAAGTTCCATTTATTTGACATAGTATTAATATACAAGTTTTTAAATTATGTAAACATTAGTACAAACATTTTTTAACACATTTCTTTATTTACAGGCCCACAAGATTTTGTCAAAACTATGAGAAATGCTTTAGAGTCAGAATATGTATCAAATAATCTCCACCACTGGATAGACTTAATTTTTGGGTACAAGCAAAGTGGGGCAGAAGCAGAAAAGGCAGATAACGGTAAGAAGGCTGTTACTAAAGAAAACTATTCTTTATTTCCTTTTATTTTATGTCTTCCTTTCACAGCTTTCAAGAAACAAGTTTTTTCCCCTTCATTTTCCATTTTATTGTATTGACCTTTTACATTATGAATGGAGAAATATTGCAAATTCAAGACTCCTGGGGAATACCTTCCTTCTAGCAATTTAATTTGAAATGATTCGGAAGTAGAGTTTTGCTGACTTCTTATTGTGACAGTGTAATACATATTTGATTGTCTGCGGAATTGAATGACATAGCAACTGTGGATAGGAAAATTTTGCAACTAATCCAACATAGGCAACAGGCAATCCAACTAATCCAACTAGGCAACAAAGAATGAAAATCAAAAGAAAAATGCTCTTAGTGTGCTGCAATAGTTGTTATATCTAGCTATACTTTCGTGATATGAAAATAATTTTATATACTTCAGGTGCAGATCCATGGGGAGGAAAAATTTATCAGTAACTATTAATTTTAACTTCTCACAAAACTTTCAAGCAAAAATATTTTCAGTATTAACTAGGCTGTCCGGGTGAAATGGCGAAGGTGCCGACGTTTCGTAATGCATTATGCCCTGAGGAAGGTCGCAGAATGGCGACCGAAACGTTGGCACCTTCACGCGGCGTCTCCCGGACAGCCTAGTAAACACTGACTCCGGTCGCAGAAGCCTATGCTCTCAAAAATATCTCCATATAAACATTAAAGCAAATAAAATGGTACTGCAATATGACTTTAGTTTAGCGTGCATCATTCTACATAATCTGTAATATGACACATATGACCAAAACATTTTGAATTAAAAAATTTCCCCTCCCAAAATTTGTCTCTGGATCTGCCCCTGTGTTCTTCATTTCTTCTACATTTCTTCTTCATTTTCTCAAAAAAATTCATTAACTTCTTTGTTTTTACCCTCCTTACTTACTTTGTTGTTTCCCGTCATACTTTGGAAGAAGAGAGTTTTATAATTGTGTGCTAGAAAATGTTAAGTTTTGGAAAGAAAAATCTCTTATTGCCTGACCCTGGTGATGAAAGAGTGGATGAATCTTGTATGTATATGCGATCTTCCATAAATTTCTTATGCTAAAGAGGTGTTTGAGGTAGTGTTATGCTGTGTTACCTAGGGGAAGAGGGGTGATAGTAAGTGTTATGTAACACACATATTTATTTTTAAAATATGTCAATATTTGCTGAAATAATTCCTTTTATTTACTAAAACATTCCACCTCATACTAACCTCATACTAAAACATTACCACAAATTAAATAAAAAATATAATAAATTAAGAGGTTTTATTGTATAAATTGTTATAAAAAATGAAAATATTTTTCATTAATTATATATTAATTGAATATTTCAGGTTATGTACAAAATATTCCCGACTGATCTGTATTCTAGAACACAATTAAGTGCATTGCTTGTTGAATCTATGTGCTTGTTGCTTGTTGAATCTATTTCATCTATTTATCCTCCTTTCATTCAAAAATTGTCCCCAGTCTTATTGTTATGTAGAGTCCTCACCAACTAATCCTGATGTTAATTATAATAAATTTTAATATATATCACACATTAAACTAATACAACTTGTTTCTGTTATCATCATCCATCATCATCATGAACTGTAGGTGTTTAGGCTTAAGACATAATTGATTTTTATTTATTGTAATTAGGGTGTGTCACAAGCATTATGAGGGTCCAAGAATGTCTTTTAGGGGGTAAAGGGGATATTCAAAATGCTCCAAATTTGCGTTACATAATTTATGGACAGCTCCTATGCCCTATATAACTTCCTCTAACACTTGGCGTAGGCAGAATAAATTTTTTTTGGTTTATGATACCGAAAATGAATTGACAGCAGAACATCTGCCCTTCCATCCATTTGTCTCTCCACTGTCTGTCGGTCCGTCCATGTCTCTTATTTACCAGTCTGTCTGCCTGCTTGCCTTCCTGTCTGCCAGTCCATGTGTCTGTTTACCAGTCTGTCTGTCCGTGCTTCAGTCTGTCCGTCTGTGTTCAATGCTAGGGCCTAAACGGTTTAGACCAAGTCAGATCTCAAAAATTGATATTTTGTTTGATCTAAATGTACTCACAGAGAGTACCTGCGAGTTTGAACTTAGTTTTGATTTCTGAGGGCATGTTACATGATGCCTGAACAACATTTTCAAAATTTTTTCAAAAAGGCTAAAAGTTTTTTATTAAACTTTGCTCATGAATAGCGTAAAGGGCATACCATTTTCGTTGAAATACGCAGTATTTCAAAAATTATAAAAGTTCGAAAACTTTTTGGCAGTGTTGTGAAACTACAATATTGAAGATGGAGATTTTACCTGCTGAAATCTTTTGTTCGGAGGCAGATCTTGAAATATTCATGTACGGTTTTTTGAAAATACCTGTGGTTTTCACATGATTTTGTGTGAAATGTAAGCTATTTTTAAAACAATTATTTTCACAAAAAGTTCTTAAAAGTTCTTGTAATTTTTAATTTGTCAGTATCAAAGGGCGGTAAAATAATTGGTGCTGGTCCCATTTTTAGCAACTCTGTATTTTCAAAAAGTACAAAAAATTAACATCACAAAAGTACATTATAGAAGATAGAGATTTTTGTCCTAAAAAAAATGTTCTAAAACATAAGATCTTTGAAAAAGACCACACACAATTTTTTGATAGAAAGTGTAGTTTTGCATAATTCCTGCTTAAAGTTAACACAATTTATAAAAATAAAACTTAGTTTCAAAAGTGACCCCAATTATTTTCTTTTAAATGTTTCCATGGATAAGGTAAAGGGCTTTTAAAAAATGGTGGGGTCGTTTCATTAAACATTCTGAATATTTGAAAATTGCAAAAGATAGAAAATTGGAAGAAAGTATATATTGTTATAGTACCACTAATTGACTCAATATGACTGTGTAACACATGAATCCTATTTGGAAGCTCCACAAGTAATATCATTTGTTTCCAGAAGTTGTTTCCTCCTTCACAAGGCTATTTTGTAAATTGTAATTATTAGTTTTTCAGGAGCTTATAACTGTGGCGTTTGAAAAATAATGTGCAGCAAACTGATATCTGTAGATATCAATGAGAGGAATTCACTTTCGTAAAATTCTTATAACGTAAATAAAAAAATAAACTTGCAATGGATTGTTTACAAGTACATTATCACTTATGAAAACATTTTGCTTTTTGTATTGTGCACTTCGTGATGAGTAATTGCTTAAATGTTTTATGATTTTTCTTTTTATAGTTTTCTACTACTTATGTTATGAAGGAGCAGTTGACTTGGATTCAATAAAAGAAATAAATGACAGGCATGCTCTTGAAGTACAAATTATGGAATTTGGTCAGATTCCAAAACAGGTTTTTACATTGCCACATCCATGCCGAGTTACTGGTTTACCTGCAATGATCACTGTAAATAATGAGTCAGAAAGCTCAGCAGGTATGCATTATAGTATTAAGTCTTCAAATTTTGTTGTATATCATTTTTATTAATTTCAGTTTTGAATAATGGTTATCTGACTTACTGAAGGAATTTTTATTTTTTGTTCACAGAAAGTGGAAGTTTATTTCGCCAAAGATTGCATAGTGCCTCTGGATTTCCTGTGTGGAATAATATGATTAATCTGACAACAACATGTTCATTTCAAGCTCACAAGGAAGCTGTAAGTGCAGTTGCCGTGTCTCAAAGTAAGCAGTTCGTTGTGTCAGTTGGCCATGACTCTCTCTTGAAAATGTATACACTTCATGAGAAGAGACAAGTTCGCAGTGTCACTTTGTCATCCATGGCATTGTCGTCATGCATCATCTTGCCAGATGACAAAACACTACTTGTGGGTTCATGGGACAATAATGTGTACGTGTAATTTTTCATTCAGTTAGCTCCATTAATTCTTTGAATGATAGGAGAAAGCATAATGTAATTTATAGAGATGTGATAATTAGATGCATGAACCTATTTTTATTTTTATATTTCTTGAGAAAGATGAAAATTGTTTTATTTTTAAATTATTGTTTTATTATCTTAAATGAAAATAGCAATGTATTATGCCAACAATTTGCATCATTATATAAATTGTTTAAATTAGGTGAACATGTCTGGTCAGTAGAACATATCTGAGGTTGTGTCTCCCTAGTGAACTTATTCAAACAAGTTTTAGATCTAGTTGTAATTTTACCTTCACCTGATTAGTTTGTAACTTTTACACATCTTTTGGTATTGTTTATAATGGTTACAGGTACTTTCCTGAATAACAATTGTTCTAAATGTGTCTCTTATAGATTTGATTATGTACTTTACCGTAAGATTCGGTGGTACATATATTCACTTCAGTTTTTGACATCTATTTCCTTTATTACTTTTTCTTTTGAATTGGATAATAAAGTTGTTAAGTATGTCAGATCTTCATTAATGTGTTCTGTACTTCTATGCAGCATTTTGTATAATCTGGAATTTGGTCGCATAGTAGACTCAGTGAGAGGCCACGAGGATGCAGTTTCTTGCCTTGCCTGGGGGTACAAGTCAAAGGTGCTAGTCTCAGGATCTTGGGATTGTTCAGTGCAAGTGTGGCATGATATTTCTGATGGTCGGAAAATAAAACCAGCTTCGGCTCTGCTTGCCCAGCTGGATCACGATGCACGCATCACATGCTTGCATTTAAACAGGTATGATTTTCAGTTACGCATTTGATTTTCTTACATTACTATATCTTCCTCTTTCAACACTATAACATTCCTTTGAACCATAAGCTAGATCTCCTTTTCCAATCTTCTGATGTCATTCAACATGTTGTCCTTCCATCCAGCTTTCAGTCTTTATTTTGAGTTGAGAATGGGTGTATTCTTCTATATTGTGTTAGGGAAGTTTTCAAATACTGCAGAGAAAAATGCCAATTTTTTGACAGCAAATCATGTTTTGTGGGTTCTTTAATCTGATAAAGGTTTCTGAGAAAGTCTGTCTGTTAATCTGTGGACAACACTGTCACCTGAACTGCACTCAGGATTTTCACCAAAATAGATATTCCCTGATCAATCTGGATAATGTCCCTTGAATTTGATATGGGTTTTTCAGTTTTTTGGGGTACTTCACACAAAACTTCAAGGGCATTTTCAAAATTCCTCCAAAATGATCCTAATCTTTTCTTTAAATTTTGTGCTTAAATAGAGCAAAGAACTTTGCTCCATTTAAGAAAAAAATAGTTTCAAAAATGGTACAGATTTTCAGACAAATCTCTAAATTTTTGAAAATTGAAGAAGGAATAAAATGTTTGATGTTTTCCCACATCTATGTTATTGAAAATATATTTTTTTTTTCTGAATGAAATCTGTTCTTACAAATTAGATCTTAAAATTATTTCAGGTACAATTTTTTTATTGTAATGTCAGTTTACTTGTAATGGAAGGCTGGATGAAGTTTCTACGCCTCTTGAAGTATGATGTCAAACATAACAGGAGTTTGGTTGCTTTTAGTTATACATTTTGATTAGATTTTCAATAAAACTCTTAGACAATTTGGTATTTTATTATAATGGAGAATATCATCTCAGAAGGCAATATGTCAATGTGACATTCTGAACAATACAATGATTTTCCATAACTGTGAAATTTCAAAATTTGATGTTATGAATATCACAAAAAATTTAAATTCTGAAAATGTAGAATTGTTTTATTATTTCATGATCAATGTCTTACCAACATTTAGAACTTTTTTTTTATTGCCAGGGACAATAAACTTCTTGTTACTGGAACGCAAGATGGGGAAATATTTCTGTGGAATATGGAAACTCATTCTTTGATTCAGCCTCTTCCAGGTAAGAAATGAAGTATTCTTTTAGGGGTGAGAGATATTTTGAAGCAAAGGCAACAGAAATTGATTTCAATTCAAAGGGTGCTGAAAATTAAAACCAAGCACAATTATTTTTAAAAAATAGAAAGAATTATATTACAATGGGCTTTTGTCTTAAAAAAAAAAATTCAAAAAAAAAATTTAAAAGGAGCCATTTTACTAATTTTGGAGCTTGTTTTACATCTTTTAAATTACTATTTTTAACATGTCAGTGTCATAGTTGGAAAAAGACAACCTCTTTACCCAAGAAAATAAAACCCTTTTATGTTTTTGTGTAATTTCTAAATATACAAAATTTGTGCGAAAATAGCCATGTGATACAATGAATTGTTCTCTATCTGTACAGAAAGTTAAATGTGGAGCTGTTTTTGAGAAAATCATATGTAATTTTGAAAAAATTTCAAGATTTAACACAAAACTACTACCGTTTTGGAAAAAGTGTGCCAGAAATGATTTCATGTAATATTGAGGAATAGAGAGCAATGAAAAAAAAATGGCATAGCTTCAATATTTTCATATAAGGAACCATTTTTATTCAAGAGATTTCTTTCAAATTCCGAAAACCTTTAGTCATCCACATGTTGAACACAAAATACTTGTATCTGAAAAATTCCAGTTTAGGTGCTAGTGGTAGGTACATGGTCAAAGCTGCCCCATTTCATTATTTGTTATGATATGTTTAGGTAGACTTTTGAGAATTACAGTGCAATATCTGAGAGATTGTATACTATAAGGCGAGGGAAAAATCTTTTATATTTGAGTGTGTGCCTATTACATATACACACATAGGTGTTCAGGAAGGAAACAGTAACTTTGAAAAAAAGCTCTTAAATCAATTTAAAGCAAAATTTTGTCTAATAAACTTATTTGAGATTTCAAATAGCTGTGCTGCAATTCAAAAGTTGGATTGAAAAAATACTTTCCATGCAAAAATTTATATTTCAGACACTAATAAACAATTTGCATATTTCTGGAATGTTTATATTTACAAAAGAAATGAATATATGATGAAACATGTATATAACAAATCATTTACATGTTTTTGGAGTGTTTATTTGTGTATATAATTATATAAATATAACTTTCCAACATCTGTTAAATAAGAATAATCTTCACCTTTTCGAGTGAAGTCGATGTGAAGGAAAAGGACTAAGCTTTATTGGGTAATTAAGTGAAATTATGTAGGAAATTAACTAGGATTCCAATTGAAACTTTACTTCATAATCCTGTGATGATAATTTTTTTTATTGATAAAGAATGATTACAATTGGTCACTCTTTGTAATGACTTAATTAAGCCCTTATTCTACTTGGTGAATACATCTTTAATAGTGAAAATTTGCCCAGGTATGTAAAATTGTCAAATGAATTTGTTTGTGTAGAATTAAAGTGTGTGGGGTGTTAAAATTGTTTTTTTTTTTTATAGTTTACTTCATCTTTTCTTTCTTTTTTTCTTTATTCTTTCATTCCTTTTAATGCGTAATAGGTAATTAAACTTTCTTCATTAAATTCTTAAACGTTATTGCTTTTAATACAGATTTTCTCAAAACACATTTTTTAAGTCAAAATACAATAAATAGTACCTCGAATAATGTTGAGTGTGTGGTTTTTATTTTCTTTTCTTTCTTTTTCTTCTTCTTCTTCTTCTTCTTCTTCTTCTTCTTTTTTTTTTTTTTTTTTTTTTTTTTTTTTTTTTTTTTTTTTTTTTTTTTTTTTTTTTTCTTTTTTTTCTTTTTTCTTTCTTTCTTTTCTTTTCTTCCAATGTTCAGATATCAATTTTATAACCAAAACATTTTAATTGAAAAATCCAAATGTAGGTTATTTTCTGCACTACGTTTCACAATTATGCACTTTAAGTAATTAATACTGATTGTATATTCTTTTAAGGACACAAAGGTGTAGTTCATGCTGCCAACTTCAGCCCTGACAGTAAAAAGCTTGTCTCGTGTGGGGATGACTGCTCCTTCAAAGTTTTAGATCTGACTACAAGAATGCAAGTTTATTCTAAAATTGTTGATGAAGAGTTAAGGTAACTGTTTTGATATATGAATGCATTTTATGGTGTATTGTTGTTACATGTAGCACAAAATGAGTTGTCATAATTGGAGGACAAAAGAGAGAGTAAGAAGCATTTTAAAAAAATTCAATGTACAAATTTCGATATGTTCTAGCAATAAATCTTAGCATCTAAATCAATATTCCTTTTCACATCATTGACTTAAAAACAAACATTTTGTTTATAGAGTCCAATTGTATTTTAAAAAATCATCAATGTATCCTTTTATTTATTCTGTATTTTTAAGTTTGTTTTTACTTTCAGATGTCTTGCTTGGGATGGATTGACTCTTCTCCTTGGTGGCAGTTTGGGGACTCTTTTTATATGGGACTTGGTGAATGTGCAGCTTCTTAAACAGATAAATGCACATGCTGGTAAATAATAATAAAAAAAAATGTTTGTACTACAGGCATTAACAGGTTCTAATGATTTCTGAGGACAAAAAGCCCCTGGGCTTAATTTGGAATAATCATTAAATGACACAATGAAAAGATGTGGTGCTTTAATTTTTAAAGTAGTAGTTCATGATGAAATAGTGCCTAATAAAATGATTAATTGGCATTTTTTTCCTAAAAATTTTATAACAAAATAAAAGTGGATTATTAATTTATTAATAAGTTAATACATTAATTCATTTCAAATATAGGAATATATTTTGTGTAATATGTGAAATATGTTGTACATAAAATATTTTTTGCTGCCAAGTAAATTATCAGTAATAAAGTAGTAGTAATAGTTTGTTTATTACATGCCTTCATTTTTTTAGGTCCATTACTAACCATAGCTGTATCTGAAGATGGCACTGTGGTGTGCACTGGTGGAGAAGATCGCCGTGTTGTGATATGGGAACCTAGTTCATAGTTGTAATGTGTAAATGTACAGATATTATTCTAGCTCTTATTTGAAATAAGGCCAGTTTGCCCTTTCGTTGTGTCTCTAAATTGTATTAGGTATTAAAAAGAGGGATTAGTTTAGTGTCCCCATGTGCCTTTGTGGGAATACCATATAATGGTAATGTTGTTATTGCAAAATTGTGAAATATTTTTTAAGAGTATTTTAATAAAATGCTTATATCTTCAAATTTTTATGGAATTCTTTCCCCATCTTCCTTACTTAAAAAAAAAAAAAAATTGAAAAGTGAACATTGAATCAACATAATAAGTGCGAAGATAAAAAAAATATAATTTTAATTTTATTTTTAGTTGTCTATTCTGTTAGGTTATTAGAAATGGCATGCATTTTTTTAGAAAACAATAACAAAAAAGTATCACACACTCAAAATAAATAAAGAAATACATTCTCATATTTATCAATTATTGTTGTGAATTTGGAAACTACGATTGTAATGTATTCGAAAAAGACCCTGTATTTAACACACTAGGGAGCATATTTAATAAAGCGGTTCTCCAAATTTGGGAATAGCAGTGACTCCAGAGAGAAGGAATGTCGACAGTGCTGATATCACGTGGTCACATCCAATTAAGCGATCTATTAAAATGGACTAGAGGGACTTCGTTTTCACTGAAGCCAAATTTATTCGCATGTGCCAGACCATTAGCAGACTGCATTGCTATGTTCACATTTTTATTCTCGTCTTTTTTTCTCCTTGTCTCGCGGTTGCGGGCTGCCAACAGTTGCCAACACAACGGGCGCCGTTCGCGAATCGATAATCCCAGTGAGCAATTGCCAGAAATTCTCCGGATGCGTCCCACAGAAAACCGTCGCGAGGAGTAAATGCGATACACGGCCTCAGTGCGTCAGTGATAATTGCCGCCGCGTCCCCAGACTCCGCTGCGGTTGGCTGTTCTGTTGCCGCCGCCTCGCCGAGCGGACGAGCAGTGAGGGTCTCGACCGTGCCTCTCCGGGCAGCGCGTGCAGGCGCGGTAGTAGTTGTGTGCTGTGAGAGAGTGTGCGCGCGCGCGAGCGCGGGGAGCGTGTTTTGTGTGCGTGTGTGCTCGACGCTGTTGCGTCCGGGGGCTCGAAGCAAAACCCGTAGGGGGGAATGGTGCGAATCTGTGTATACGTGTGAGAAAAAACTAAACATGCAGTAAAATGGAGTGCAGTGTGTATTTGGTTTTGACGGCGGTGCTCAGCCTACTAGAATGCATGTGCGTGTTTTCGTTCAATCTGGATTTTCGCATTCCCATCGTAAAACGGCAACAAGCAGACACTTACTTCGGGTTTTCCGTCGCTGAGCATCAAACATTAGCACCCAGCGGGAATGTCCAGAGCTGGTAAGAACCGAAGCCACATCAAACTAACAACACACACTATGACAACAGTATCCAAAACCGCCGGCCGGCTTGCGGTGTGCATAGCTCTTAGCAAAACCCGGCTAAAGTGCGTATCACATAGTAAACACGTCGCCGATCTCATTAAGCGGCGCAGGTAGCTCGTGCGGCGTGTCGGTCTGGCAACGCACAGCTGCGTCGCGTCGCTGCCACGGCGTCGACGCGACATTCGATACCCGCGCGTGCCCACCGCCCGCGTCGCCTCAAAGCGCCCCATTGAGATGCCTCGCCCGCCACGCGATAAGGACGACCCGCACCGATGAATATTTCCGCCGCGGACCGCGTGTGAGGTCACGCTCTGAATTTGGGCGCCGGATCGATGCCCCTAGCGCGGCCGCTAAAAATAAACGGGCGGGTATCGAACTCGCGACTGTCCCTTGGAGGTTGCACGTGCGTGTTGTTATTGCCAAATTTTTTTGTCGTTGGTCATGGCAGCGGGAGTTTGCCTATGTGCGTGTGTGTGAGAAACAGACACACAGACGGACAACGTGTTTTGATGACACGATTGTTGAAGGAATGATGGGCTTTACTACTTTCAAAGTTTTCGTAGTTAGCTTTTAATACACATAAAACAAATCACCTTTTTAATCAATTATTGTATAATTAATTTCAATATTATTACAGTGCTACAAACAAGTGCTCTGAGCGTTTTATAATTCTCCTACTTATTTATTTTCGCTCATATTTTACGTGTAATTTTCTTGATATTGAAAGACTTTATATCATTATATTATAATAAAAAAACAAAAAAAAAAAAACAACAACAACAACAGAGTGTACCTGCCTATTGAGAGTCGCAAGATTATTAACAAAATATGTGCAAAACGAGTTGATAGTGTATTTTATCGTATTTCATGCTACGTATGTACCCGTTTTAAATAAATGAATAGCGATGTAAAAATCGTTTTTATTTTTTCTCGTCTACGTATGTATATACAGAGTAATATAGTCTACCTAGTGTAAGAGAAGGTTATGAGATGCTGCGGAAAAAAAAGTTTTGAGATTTGACGGAAATACGTTTTGGGGTCCCGTGCTAAGGAAAAAGTATTGTTTGTTTTTTCAAAGTTTGTCCATTCGTCTGTGTGCTTGTTCGCATGACCGTCCGTTCGTCTGTCCCAACAAGACTGGCCCTAAAGCATTGTAGGATTTGTTTCGAAAATACATGTTTATACACAAATTGATTATTAAAAGTTTTCGTGTAATTTTGAGTAATGCGTGCAATTTTCAAACATTTTCTGAAAAACTGCTACATTTTTTTACTTTTGCGCCCTTCTTTATAAGAAGAAAACGTACTGTAATCGTCCGCCGGAAAACTGTCAATATGCAGCAGAAAAGGTCTTATTGCCGGGTCCTGGTGACGAAAAGTGGATAAATCTTGTTTATATACAGTAAATTACTTTCTCTAACACGTTGTGTAGCCAGAATCCTCGTCTTGTGGGCCCATGATACTGAAACTAATTGACGGCAAAACATCTATTCATCTGTCTGTCTGCCTGCCTGTCCATCTAACCGTCTGTGGTCAACGCTAACGTCTAAACCGTTTCGCAGATTTGTTCCAAAATGTATATTCCCCGATCGATTCAAACGAACTAAAGAACATCTGAATTTGAAATGGACATTTGGATTTTTGAGGGTACTTTACAATGAGCTCCAACGTTTTCAACATTTTCTTGTTATTCTTCTTAGAGGTTTAATCTGTTAACTAAATGAATGCTGTTCGTTTCCTTTCGGCACTAGCTTATGCTTGACAAGAGTTGCAAGCAGAGAACACTGTCTTGAACGGGTCGACAAGTCGCGAGCCGAACTTTCAAAATAAACTTGCAGCTGGGCCAACTATTGCCAACAGTAATATTTCAGTCTCGTATAAACCAGGCATATTGTGAACAAATAGAAAAGACAACATAGTCAAATATTAAAATGAACATTATTCATTTTAATATGGAATGGGACAAACCAGTTAAAATAAAGTAAAAAGTAATCGTACAAATCTGTTATCGCACTAATCTGTGAAAGGTAAAAATTGGGTTCATGACAGTTTGAACTTTCCGAAATATTTTTGCAATACATCAAAAAATATTTTGTTTTGAGTCACTTTACACGGTTGTAATAATATTTCACAATTACTAAACGACATTTTTTGAACCGAATTTATTGTCTATACGAATATTATTCGATATTATTTTACTTACAGGCAGCTAAAGATTGAAGAATGAAGCTACTCCCCCCCAAAAAGTTGCTTAATAATATGGGATCAGTTAATGAATGTTTTCAATGTTGAAAAACTACGTGAAGTATTTTTATTTTCTCGCATACGTTTTCGCAGTGGAGAGAAAGTTATGTAATGCTGCGCGAAAAATGGCGTACTTTTGGCAGAAAAACTTTTTATTACAGGACCCTGATATGACAAAGTGGATAAATCCAGTTTTTAAATTGTTACATTTAGAAGAAAAAATCATGCAAAAATTCAAAAAGGTTTCGGCGTCTTTCTACAACTAAAATATTTAAGATACATATTTTTTAATGACATATGTTCGTCAGAAACAGATCTACAAGTATGGTCATGATCAAGTTTTGGAAAAGATGAGTATTTATTGCGTAATTTTGTTGGAAACATAGGTGCTTTTAAAAGAGTTTTAAACATTTTTTTTCTAAAAAACGACACCAAATTTTTGTTTGAAATTTATTTCTTGTGTATAACAAAGTCCGGTAAATGATGTGATGCTGGTCCCATTCGCTCTCTTTGTAATTTGGAAATTTGCAAATAAACAATTAACATTGCAAGAAGTACGATGTTGACGATAGATACTTTTTTGTTACATGAAATCTGTTGTAAAAACTAAGTTCATTAAAAAAATGTTGTCTTTTAAAATATGAGGAGTTTAGCGTAATTTTACAATTTTTGAAATTGCAAATAGAAATTTCTCTTACCCCTACTCCTACCTCTACAAGGAAAAGGTGAGTTCAACAAAACGTGCGCATAGTCAAGCTACATTTATCTCCAGAAGCTAAAAAAGGCGCCATCTCAACATTTGATCAATGTATAAGGGAAATGTCCAAACCCTGATCGAAATGAGGACCATTGACCCGGAAGCTGAAGTACATTATTTGTTACAAGCATGTTAAGTTTTAAAAGAAAATATACAATACACATGTAAATTAATTCATTATATATCACTGTGTTCTTAAAATAAACAGTATTTTTCTTTTCGATGACCAGTGTAGTCTCTAGTTGTATGGAAACAGTTATGCCACAGAAAATATTTTACTTATAAATAAATTTGTGTAAAAATGTCGTCTGGCAATGCGTAGTAAAGTGACGTGCATGTATTGTATGTGGATTTCTGGTAGTGGGCTGATGATACAGACACATGATGAACGTGATTTCAACGACGTGTGTTGTAATTATAAATATCAGTATTGCATGAAAATGTTCCCACCGTTAAGTACTTCAGTTTTGACAAATATTACAGGCAAGGCAAAACAATGATAAGAATCCAAGTTCAATGAAGAGAGGCTGATCTTATTGCATGGCCTTATTTTGAGACAAGCTCTCGATTGGATGTCACCTTAACAGCTGATTTACGTCAACAGACTTGGCAAATAAATCGAAGTGTAGCGAGAGCCGCCATCGCTGCCACCGCCAGCACCGATGGATCATATTATTTATTAACTTTTAATTTTTTTTTACTTTCTAGCATACTCCTTACGTAGTTTTTTTTTAAGCCTAACATCGGATATGTTCGTGAATACACCAAATTCAATGCAATAAATATATTTTTATTTAAACTTTAGAGTAAAAAAAAATATTTTTGCGCTTCGAGATGAAGTGAATTTTTAAGTACAAGAAAGGCAGACATATTTCATAACGATAACTTTTGGAAGTACTGCTTAGTAGTGCTTTTGAAAGTATGTACTGTCGTAGCACTTCTAGTTTCTTTAAAGTTTTTCCACGAATAAAACAAAGGACTTTAAAAGAATGGTGGTCTCATTTTCTTTGATCTCTCTGAATTATAGAAAATTGCATTTTGGAAATATTGTGTTTAGACAATTCATGTTTAAGTGGCGGACCTGGTTGAAATGTAACAGAGGTCTAGTGGCGGAGAGGTAATGCACACGGTAACTCGGAGAACCTGAGTTGGAGTACAGGTTCGGAACAGTATTGTTGCTGGTTGAAATAAAATTGCATGACAGTTAGAAATAATTCGAGAAAGTATGTGCTGTTGTTTCTCCAGTAGTCATCGAAAACTGCTCCATTTTTTTCTTTAATTTTTTTTCCTAGTATAAAACAAAGGACTGTTAAAATAATGGCGGAGGTATCATTTTCTTTTATCTCTCTGAATTTTCGAAAATTTCATGCTAGAAATATTGATTTGAGACAATTAGATGCTTAAGCGTCGGCCGGAGTTGGTACGTCAGAACGCTGACTTAATGGGGAGGTGAGGCGCACGGCGAAGTAACTCCAAGGACCAAACTTCGAGTCTGGGTGGGGAAAGAAATTTTTGCTGGTTGAAACCAATTTTGCAGGTTCATTTAGTATAATATTGCGTAGCAGTTACAGATAATGCGAGAAAGTGTGTGCTGAAACACAGTGAATGTTGAAAATAAATTGAAATAAAATGATAATTGCAATTCAATTAATAACATTTTTAAAGGTATTTCGGAATTCGAATTTTATGCTCATTTCCACTTTCAAATTCGACCGCGTTTCTTGTAAATCACCTTTCCAGACGAAAACTCTTCTAGAGTTATAATCTCTCTGATCGTCGATTTTCTCCTTAACAGAGTTCCGCTACACATTTATATTTTATTTCTCATTAAATTAAAGCAAAAAATAGAACCTACGCGAATGGTGAATTCCATATACCCATGACACGGTCGCCAAACCGGGCTCACAAGTCGGACTATGGTGTGTATGGGAAGATCAACAGTAAGATCGAAATCCC